CACGATAAAATCTTTCAGTTACAGCAGTTAGCAAGTCGGCCGTAGAGCGAGAGGATCGAAAACCGTATTGATTGTCTGACAGCAGTTTATTTGAGATGTGAGGAATTTGTTGATCAAAGACTCAAAGACCTTGCTAATAACAGAAAGAAGACTGATCGGACGATAATTGGAGGGATCAGAATTTTCTCCAGAGTTTTTGAATATTGGAACTACAGATGCCATTTTCCAACAAGCAGGAAAACAAGACTCAGTCAAACACTTGTTAAATAGTTTAGAGAGAATTGAAGAAAGTTCTGGAGAACAATTCTGCAAGACTGTGACAGGAATGTTGTCTGGACCACAAGCTGTAGACAAGTTTAATTGAGATATGACTTTAGCAACAGAAGCCGGAGTGATTTGAATGTCTAACAATGGGTCAACCTGTTTGACTGGAATGGAAGGAAGAGAATGTCCATAAGATTCAAGAGTGGAATTAGAAGAAAAGTTCTTTGCAAACAGTTCTGCCTTATCCCTGGGAGAGGAAACAAGATCAGTCCCATGAATGAGAGATGGAATGTTAGATCTACCCTTGTTAACAATGCTGTTGAAGATTTTCCAAAAGTCTTTAGAGCCTAACTTCTGCGATAAGATGCGAGATTTAGTGAACTGAGAATAATGGAGTTTAGCATCAAAAAGCACCTTTTTACATCGATTTCTTGCAATAATAAATAGCCGTTTGTTCTCAAGAGAGTTGTTCTTTTAAAAAAGATAAAAAAGATGATTACGATTAGATATAGCAGCCGCACAAGAAGGAGAAAACCATGGAGTAAAATGAGGCTTGACTTGAAACCGACGCGAAGGAATAAAAGCTTCCATTCCAGTCTGAATCCAGGAGGTTACGTAGGAGGCGCATTTGTCAGTTGAGAGAGAAAAAACATCAGCCCAAGGACCATCACGAAGAAAATCACGAAAAGAATCCCAGTCAGCTTTAGGGTAGTAGTAGGTGGTGCGATGATAAGGTGAGCCCAAAAAAGAAGTACGAGAAGAAAGATTTATAGAGATCATTGCATGGTCAGAACCACCTAAGGGAGAAAAGGAAGAAACAGAACATAAGCTAGGGTCAGAGACAAGACGTCTCTGACCCTAGCTTATGTTCTGTTTAATAAGTCAAGGAGTGAAGGTAAATGATTAGGGTTGTCAGGAAAACGAGTCACAAAGTTAACTATCTGAGTAAGAGATTGAGAAACGCAGAAGTTAAAGGCTTTAGTGCCAGCAGGATCAGTGGTGTTAGAGCCAAGCCATTTAGTGTGATGGGCATTAAAATCACCAACAACAACAATATTGGCAGAGGGGTAAAGAGAGAGGGCATGGTCAATTTGATCAGAGATAACATCTAAAAGAGTGCAATCATGGGAAGAAGGAGAACGATAAAGAACAAAGAGAAAGGTGATAGAGTGAAGAGGTGCTAGGCGAAAGCACATAAAAGAATGGTCAAAGGATTCGAACCTGATTTCACGACAAATAGGGGAATTAATGCGTATGAATACCCCTAAACCTAGCATGTGACTATTGGAGTCTTTACGAATCAAAGGATAGTACCCATCAACACTGACATCTGAAGAAGGAATTGCAGAATTTAAATTTGTTTCACTGAGTGCAAGCAAGTCTGGTGAATTTTGCAGGAGGTAAGACTCAACTGATAGAAAGTTGCTTCGTAGACCGCGAATATTTGTAAAAGATATATTAAAATATTTAGGTGGTGAGGATGGTTTTTTAGGTTTTAAATTTTTGGTTACTTTGGTCATGATTTGGATTTAATGAGAACTTGACTCAATTATAGATAGAGCACAGCCTCCTAATCAATGAGCTATGCAATTGTCTCAGTCCTGTTAATTAACCCTAAGCCGTGACATAGGGCTCCTTATGTGGCCTTGACAATGCACACCAAAAGCATTAACAGGGACACCATCCATGCGCAACATGGCACTGTTAATACTCTGATATTTTGCAGCTGTTGATGGAATCAGCCTCTCTGAGAGCTACCACAGAGTTCGGGAAACCTTACTACCAGCCGGCCTCAGAACCATTAAACTGAGTTTTAGAGCTGTACCCTCATATGGAGATAACAGGAAGAGTTGCATAGCCATTATCAAGGAGGCATAAGCAAAACTCTATGAATAGAGTCAAGGAGATCCAGCATTCATCATCTTAGGCAGGAAACAATGTAACACAGGTTACATCTACGCCAGCCTAATAGATGAAGAAGGGGTTCGAGGCTGGTTAGCAGAATTTTTCTGCTGACCCCTAAAGTCTTTGCCTAGGAGGCCTTCTACAAGACAGTAGCAGGATGCAGTTAACATCTGCCCAAGATGAGTATTTTTATCAAGACACCATCTCTAGCCTTTACTCAACCAAGAGCCCCAAGGCAGGGGATGTTTAGCTGGATGCAGTTAACATCTGCCCAAGATGAGTGTTTTTATCGAGACACCATCTCTAGCCTTTACTCAACCAAGAGCCCCAAGGCAGGGGAATTTTTGGTCGGAGTTTATTTCTCCTAGCCTTTGCATAAGAAGAGCACACTCTGCAAGGCAGCAGGGCTTGTGGCAGGTGGTACTGGGTTACGTGATACCAGTAGCAAGAATGATCTCGATTATCCTGACCTGACCTGGAGTAGTTAAAAGGAGTTACTTCCCGCAACAGTACTTTGATAAAACCAGGCATGACATTTTGGAAGTGCATTAGGAAAAACACTGCATCTAACAAAATACAGGAGTCTAAGGCGAGTGTACGTTTTGTAGTTGGAGTAAGTAGTTAGTTACTGAGCTCACGCTGCATTAGAGTATAAACAGAACACAAACAAACATAGATCAACTTACGGGTGAGTCAACACCGCGCCAGAGGTTCAGACAGAACACAAACATACATAAAAAAACATAAAAAACATAAACATAACATAAACATAAAGTAACTTACGGGTGAGCGAACACCGCGCCAGAGGTTCAGACAGAACACAGACACACATAAAGAACATAAAGTAACTTACGGGTGAGCGAACACCGCGCCAGAGGTTCAGACAGAACACAAACATACATATAACGTAGATTACAGGTGAGCTAATACAGTAACTAAAGCACCTCCAACTATATGGGAAAAAAAAAAAAAAAAATTACTATAGGCATGACTGGTATAAGATAGTACTGATGACAGGAAGAACACTCCTTTTAGCCTTTGCTTAGATAGCAAATCCTGCAAGGCAGCAGAACATGGAACAGGTTGCACTGGGTTACATGTTACCAGTAGCAGGATGATCATGACGACCATACTCCTGACCTGACACAAAAACTTCTTGTTTAAAATACTTTGATTTTACCATAATATAGCTGCTAGAGAAAGAAAACATAACTTGTAAATATCTTGTAATTGACATAAAATTCAATTATCAGTATTCAATAAAAAATTTTTTTTCATTAATCTTGAAATTAGCAAAGTCTGTCAATTTTTTTCATTAATCTTGAAATTAGCAAAGTCAATTTTGATGGTTTATTCATACAAAATTGTCTTGTGTTTTTAACATTTTTGTTAAAAAAAAAAAAATTAATTTGCCCTATCCATAAAAACAGAGTTAATGGTTTTCAAAAACTGAAACTTTAAATGTATTTTATTTATTAAATGACATTTAAATGTGTTTTATTTATTAATGACATTTATTATTTTATTAATGTCATAATGACATATATTATTTATTAATGTCATTTATTAATGACAACTTTAAATGTATTTTATTTAATTATGATATTCCTGAACTAGTTCACAATACCTGAAAGCTATTTGCTGATAATAGTAAGTTAATTGCTGTAATCAAAAACCAGAAAGATCATGAAATATTACAAGATGATCTCAATAAAATAGTTGAATGGACAAAAAATTTGAGCATGAAATTAAATTATGAAAATTGTAAAATTATGAAAGTTTACAGTACAAAATCAAAAAAGTTAATTGACCAAATAAATCAAGCTATTCCACTATATATAACAACCCACGATGGAACAATCATCAAAATAAATGAAACAATACAGGAACATAACCTAGGTATCAACATAAGTAATAATCTGAAATGGAAAGACCACATCACAACAATAACCAATAAAGCTTACTCAAAACTAGGTACACTAAAGCAAACATTTAAATTCTGGTCAATCGACTCCTTTACTAAACTATATACAACTTATGTTAGACCTGAAGTAAAGTTTTGTGCACAAGTTTGGAATCCACATTTGAAAAATGAAATAAAAAACTTGAAAAAGTTTAGCAAAGAGCTACAAAGTCCCAGGTCTCAAGCACAATTCTTATGAAAAACGTTTATTAAGTTTAAAGTTAAAAAGTTTCGAATCCATAAGAATTAGCGGGGACCTCATCCAATATTATAAAATAAAATACAAACAATCTTCTAATATCAGAGGAGAACGACACAAAATGTACAGAGAGTTTACTAAACACAGTTACCATAAAAATTTTTTTAGCAACAGGATAGTGCCACATTGGAATAATTTACCAAATAACTTAGTAACATCAAACAGTTAACAATTTTAAGAAAAAATATGATATCGTAATACAAAACAAATAATTAACTAATTGTTACTATAGTAACAAACTATAGTAAAATTACAATAATCCTACTCTGCAAAGATTTGTAATATCTGTAGAAATAAATAAATAAAATAATTTTTTTTATTGAAGATTTGAAAATAGTTTTTCAAGTTTTGTATATATATATATATATATATATATATATATATATATATATATATATATATATATATATATATTTAGATTCGAGCTTTGATATGTTAATTATATTCCAATTTAAATTTTTTTTATAAACATGGGTTATCTTTGATTTGATATACCCTATTAAGCAAATTTAATAAAAAAATATTAACATTTACCTTAACATGAACCTACAGTTTTAATGCAACATGTATTTGGTAATTGATTAATAGTTTAATTTATTATACATGTAGGGAGTATTAAAGATTGACATTTTGGAAGCAAAGAATCTTATTGGGAAAGACACAAATTTATTTAAAGATAAAACATCTGATCCATATGTTCTCACAAAGGGTAATCTTTTCATGATTTATTTAATTAGGCTTTATCTCATTGTGATTTGATTGGAATGTTGGGTTGTTTTTGTCATTTTTACCAGATAAAAATAATAAGTTAAAAGGTTGATTTATATAAGTTTGACTTATAGCATAACTTTAATGTTCACTGAACTATAATTCTATATATTCCAATTCATTATATTATAAAATAGATTAACTCAAAAAAATTCTGTATAAAATTTTTGTGTACAAATAAAACAAAAACTACTTTGACTTTCAACAATTAAAAGAAACCTAAGAAAAGAAACTTCTTGAATTGATGAATAATACAAAAATATGCTAAATAAGTTTTTAGTTATTTTTTTATGTGTTGTAACTAATAATCAGATACCCATATAAATTAGAATATTCTCAGTTTCATGTTTTACTTGAGTTAATAATTTAAACTTTATTAATATATTGTAGTTAAATTTTCTATTATAATTTATTTATAATTATTATTAATATATTATTAATATAATGTAGTTAGACTTTATTAATATATTGTACTTAAAATTATAATTGTGTTGTAGTTGTTGTGTTTTCTATTATAACTGTGGTTATAACAAAATCTCTCTCTTTAAATATATAATTATGTATACATATAAACACTAAAATATACATAGATATTCAATAAAAGGTATTAAATAATTTGATATTCATCTAGTGATGGATTATATTGTTTTTTTAGTGGGATCAAAAGTTGTTCATAAAACTCCTGTAATACAAAAATCTCTCAATCCAAAATGGAACAAAGAATCAGTTTCGGTATGATTTCATTCTTCTTAATAATTCTCTTTTGAGTTTAAAAACTTTCTCCTAAAGTTTTTAAACTCATTATATAATTCCACTTTTTTTTATGTGTAGATATTCATTCAAATTGTAATTGGAAAAAAAATAAAATTTGAGCTATATGATTCTGACGCCATAAAAGATGATGAGATAGGAAGGTAACTGAGTTTAATTTTCGTGAATCAAATTGACTAAAATTAATGGTGAAAGATTACTTAAATGGTGCTAGATTTTAAATTAATTGATTTTCATTTAATTTTCTTAAAGTTAATCGATTAGTTGATTATTTTCTGATTAATTCATAACAATTTTAAAAAGGTTAATGTTAATTTTTATGATTTTATTTCTCTTTTTTTTATTAGATCTTAAAAAACATTAATTTAATAATTATACAAGTCATTTAAACTTGTTCTTAGTAATAAATAAACCAGAAGCACTAAAATTTTTTTCTGCTTTTAGGCAAAATGGAAGAAAAGCTTTGCATATCATTTTAAAGCATATCATTAAGTCAAAATTTGTTGAAGGGATTACATTCAAATTAGGCTATTTATACTTTTCTTTTTAAATATATATATAATTGTGGTGACAACCCTCTCTCAACACTATAACTTTGAAACCCAAATGTTTCTGTTTATGTTTCTGATTTAAAAATTTTAAATCTGATTTAAAGTCATCTGGATTTTGTAAATAGCAAGAAAAACCAGTAGTAATTTTTTCTTTCAGTAATAATCTCAGAAACTACAGTAAAAAGTTTTCAAGCAATTTTAGTTTTTTGTTCTCTAAGATCTTTTAGTGAAAAACGAAATAGTCTTATCAAATTTTATCAGGTTGCAGTCTCCTTTTCCCAATGCCATAGCGCTTAACTCTACAACATGAAGAGCCTAAAAAATATATAAAATGTGTTTAATTTCTTCTTCTAATAAAATCAAATCTGCACTGGTTTTATCCACAGAACCTTTTCTTTTTTTCTTTTTTTTGATTAAAACAAAAGAATAAATGCGTACCAAGAAAAACTAACTTTTTTTATTTTAGTTGAAGCTCGGGTTCTCCATTTTGTTGCAGGCCAAAAAGTCAGCATAATATTTATCACAATCTACAGACTTGATAATTTATTCAAGTGTGTTTTATTCGAAAGAGTTTCAGTACACGATGTTATTGATTTTTTTGTTTGTTTACATAATCGATTTTTTACACAAACAAAAAAATCAATGGGATTGTCAGAGAAGGCAAGCTTCTAAAAATAAAAAATTAAAATAAAAAAGTTAATTTTTCTTGGTGTGCATTTATTCTTTTGTTTTAATCAAAAAAATTTAATCAAAATATTTTTTTTATCATTTTCTTTAATATGAACACAACATGTCTCGAAGGTTTGGTCTCCCTTTAAAGAGTTGAGAGATGGTTGTAAACACAATTAAAAAAAGAAAAATTAGCCTCCTTGGCTAAAATGTTGGGGACTCAGTCTTGGGGAGGTGAATAACATAAAGACAAAAAAGCAACAAAAAAAAATACTGATAAGAGAATTCCATCTTGTTTTAGTATCCAGAATAAGCTTAAGCTCTTTTTTCTAAATCTGATCTACAAAAAGGTTTTAAAGGGTATAATGTTTAAGAATTTCTAAATAGCTTAACAATTTTATGACCCTTTGATCTGATAATACCATGGTCCTTATTAAACTGCATTTCCTCACTAATGAAAAGGGTGATTTACTAATGCACCATCAAAAGATGTTGATAATTAAGTTCAAAATTATTTAACTTTTTAATAACAATATTAACAGCTTTTTCTGAAGGCATTGAGACATTCTAATGAATCATATTGAATATTGTCTTAACAACATACATTAGAAAAAAAGACTTACATTAGAAATATAACATATATTAGAAACAAATACCTTACAGTTCTACCTCAAATCCACTCATTAGGAGAAGCTGAAAATCTTTCTCCAGTTAATTTTTTTTGCTGAAGATCTTGAGCCATTTTCAACTTTATTGAGCTTGCATAGGTTATAGCAGTTGCCTTTATAATATGTTGATATCAGATTTTGAATCCTTGATCCTTCTAGCCATCTTTAATGTTTTTACTATTGGCCAAATTTGAAAAAGGGACATGATCTGCAGCTGTTAGATAAACTAATACTTCTCCAGCTTTGTTAACTATTTTATTACAGTAGGCAGCAATACTTTGACTGTATATTTTTTGTCAATAAAATTTTTGATTTGTCAAAAAACTGGATTAAAAAAAAAATTGGATAAAACAATGCATATAAATATTAGTTTTGTTTTACTTCTTCCAAACAGTTTTCTCCAGATAAAATTGTAAATGGCAGTCAGGCTACTAGACAGACACACTGTAAATTATTTTAAGAATTGTATTATTCGTCTACATTTCACACTGGTTCAGGAAGTAGCGATGTGAAATGTAGTACTGGAAGGAAGTACTGCTATATGTGTTTTTTTTATTTTTTTAATAAAGCTAAATTGTTGTAATTAAATGTAAATAAAAAGAATTATAACAATCTTGTATTTTTAAAACAAAAAATTAATCGGTTTTCATTTGTCATTAATCATTAGTTAGTTAAGCAATTAATGATTAATTTTTCAAAGTCAATTAATTAAATATTTACCAACCCTAACTTTAATCTTAGATTTAACAAATTCTAAACTATATTTAAACTGGAGCTGATCAGATGATTAATCCACTGAGCAGTTTATCATTGAATGCTGCTGTGTAGTTTCATTTCTTCAAAAGAGATGATAACAAGTTGTACTACATGGTATTTGTTGGTAGTGAACTTTATATTAGGTGCCAACAGTTTTAGGTATTAAGTTGCTTCAAGTTGGAGTAGATTTCATTTGAAAAATAAAAAATTTATAAAAAAAAGTTTTCAAAAACAACATTTTAAAAGGAGACTAAAGTAAAAAATAAACCATTTTGAGGAACCCACGGACATTGTATGTATGCAACCTGAAATATCCATTAAAGTGACTGAAAATTTTGGCAAACTACGTACAACTCGTTCATATTGATGCCCAACATTTTCAGTCCTTGTCCTTGGATCCTGTGAAATAGTTTATTTTTTATTTTTTAGTTCATTTTTAAAATGTTGTTTTTAAAAAGTTTTTATATATATATTTTTTTTTATTATTTACTTTTTAGTCTGCTAAGAAAATTAAATGATTAGTTCAATTGCAAGTACTATCTTCTGGTAGGTATTGGTACATTCTTTCTATTTCTTGGATGGCATCCAAATACATTTCCTGCCAGTACACCGCAGTCTAGTTCTTCGATGCGTAGTCCATCCAATGATTGAACTCAGTTAAGAGCTACATAAGCTTGGCCATAGGCGAATAGTTTTTTTGTAAGGTATTTAGTAGGCAAATAGTTTTTTTGGCAAATTTTTGTTTGTTTAGCAATGCGTCTGTCTCTATTTTCTTCTGTATCAGCCGCCTTTGTTGTTCTCTTATTTTTTCTAGCCAAGATGCTCGTTGCTCAGCTAATTCATTTGCTCTAGCTTGAGATTTCTGTTTTTTTTCTCGAGCAAGACAAGCTAATTGATCAACTTTAGTTTCCAGCTTTTTTTTCTATATTTAGCTTTTTTCTTGATATCTCTACACTGATAAGATTTTTTTAATTTTTTTTTTTACTTTAAAAACTTAATTTAAAAGCTATTTATTAGTAAAGCATTTTAATACTTTATTTTTTAAGCATTACTTACTTTTTTATAGTAGAAAATCTATCAATTTCAGGTTTCAACTTTTTTATTCATTCATTTTTTTATTCAACAGCGATTCTATTTATTTAAACTTAACTAAAATGTTAAAAGTTTGTTGTTTATTGTTTGTTTTAATTACTTTTCATAACGATTTCTTTTATTTACGCTAAACTAAAGTCTGCTTTGCGTTCTTTGTTTTAATTACATTTGTTAATGATTTCTTTTATTATTACCGCTGACCTCGTGTTTGTTTTGTGTGGACAATAAAGAAAAAAAAAAGATACCATTTTTTTTTAGAGTTAAAATTTTTACATAAGAATGTCAACCATGTTGCAATAGTTGTTTGCATTAAATAACTGAGTATGGTTGGAGTTAAAATTTACAAGCCACTGTGAGATTCAAAATTGACTTCCTGTTCTAAGCGATCAAAAAGAGAAGACTCTGTCAAGACAGGAGTATAAAGTTGAGTGATCAGCAATAAGAGTTATTTTAGATGTAAAGCTAGCCATTTTAACAGGACCCAAAAATGTCTAAAAGTTATAAAATTTAAAAAATAAATTATTTACATTCCATTATATATGAAAATACATGGGAAAATGTTTTACACTAACATTTGTTTTTAAAATTCATTAATTTGTGACAACTCCACTATTTGGATTGTGTAAAATTAATTTGGTATTTTGATTGATTAATTGTTTATTAAGAAGGATAAATAGAGAATCAGACGCTAATTCCTCATATATTTTTCCATTTTGACATATGCTTGACAAATTGTAGTAGGTCAAGCACATGCCGAAATATTGATTTGTTGTAAATAATATATGTATAGGTCTGTAGTGCAGATTTGTAAATAACAAATCCATTAAATTGAAATGTCAAAATTTATTTAGAAACAAGTCATTTATATAATTTATTTAATAAATGAAAATATTTTTGCAATTGCTTTAATTTAGTACAAAATTATATTATGCAGAAATTTATCAAATGATTTTATATCAGTAAATATTATGTTAATATGCAACCTTGATTATTTACTTCATCATATATATCTTGTGTTTCAAGTACATAAAAGATGCATCCCAAAAAAAATAGCTTTACTGTGGCAGAGTTATGAAATTCTAGAAATTCTGTTTTTGTAATTATTTTAGACAGTGTTTTTGTAATTATTTTAGACAGTGTTTTTGTAATTACTTTAGACAGTGTTTTTGTAATTATTTTAGACAGTGTTTTTGTAATTATTTTAGACAGTGTTTTTGTAATTATTTTAGACAGTGTTTTTGTAATTATTTTAGACAGTGTTTTTGTAATTATTTTAGACAGTGTTTTTGTAATTATTTTAGACAGTGTTTTTGTAATTATTTTAGACAGTGTTTTTGTAATTATTTTAGACGGTGTTTTTGTAATTATTTTAGACGGTGTTTTTGTAATTATTTTAGACTGTTTTTGTAATTATTTTAGACAGTGTTTTTGTAATTATTTTAGACAGTGTTTTTGTAATTATTTTAGACAGTGTTTTTGTAATTATTTTAGACAGTGTTTTTGTAATTATTTTAGACAGTGTTTTTGTAATTATTTTAGACAGTGTTTTTGTAATTATTTTAGACAGTGTTTTTGTAATTCTGTTTTGGACAGTGTTTTTGTAATTCTGTTTTTGTAATTATTTTTTGTGATTATTAATTAAACAGTAAACAGAAACTAATCTAACCTCGTATATTTTTTAATGTGCATTCCCATATAATAAAAGGTATTGCAAATGCTGTGTCAAAATAACTTATTTGCCATAGTTATTGTTTTGACAAGTCTTTTCTGTGAACTAGCATTAGCTTTTATTAAGTCTGGCACCTCTAATGGTTTGGAAACAAATACACAAAATCATTGAAAATATCTAAAGCTTTTTGGTTGAAATTGCAGGTTGAATTTATATTTTTAAAAACTGTGTACAGTTAAACTAAATAGATTTAAATATTGACTGATATGTTATAGTTTTCACTTTTGAAAAGTATTAATATCTGGAAGTTGACAAAATTTAAAAAAAGTATAAATATCTGGATGTTGACAAAATCAAAAAAAAAAGATTCCACCTAATCAAAAAGAAAATATAACATTAAATTTAAAAGTTGTTTATTAGTAGAGTGTGTTAAAAGAGTTCTTTCATTTTAGATCAACAATCTTTTGAGTCTTTTTATATATATTTTTTAGTACATCTTTAAGCTTAGAAAAAGTAGTTGGTTCTAGCTTTACTGATCTGGTAAGTTTTATCTATTATAATTGTTTCAATTTTTATAATTGTGTTATATTAATTTATAAAAGTTGTAATATAAGTATTACTAAATATCTTTTAGTGGCTTTCTCTCGATAATTCTACAACAAGTGCACTTCATATTAATTGTGGTTGGTTTAATTTGAGTAACAATGTTGACGATTTAAAAAAAGTAATGTTTTTATTTTTTAACAGCAGTGGATATTTTATAAAATCTATATCTTTTTTGTGAAGTATTTTAAAATTGATCTGTGTATTTTTAATTAATTTTTATTAAACATTTTTGAAGTTTTAAGACAAATATGAGATAGAGATAAGTTCCATCGTGTCAATTTAAATATTGTACTCAACTTGTTTTTCTGTATACAAGCCTTTTTCATTAAGGTTTTGTTTTTCTGTACACAAGATTCATGCTTCAAAGTTATAGAGTTTAGAGAAATAATTGAGAAAAAATATGAAATAAATGCTTTATAGAGTATAGTGGTTTCTTTACAAAGCTTTAGGAAAATCAGTATGTTAAAAAAAAAATGGCTCTAAACTCCAAAGTATTTTATGGAAATTCCTATCTCTAAATATAAATATAAAGATAAATATGCATATAAGTATATATATATGCAAATTTTAAATAAATATATATGGCTATTTCCACGATGGAAGAGATAAATTTCTTTTTTCAAAAAACTTTTTTTCTTTTTAAACACCTTAAAATTATTGTTAAATTAAATTTTGATAAGAAAATATTTGAACCGAGTAGATAAATTTGACGAATGTTAGTAATTGTTTTTTTTTTTTATTATTCAAAAAAATGAGTATAATTTGAGGGCAAGCTATTGCAACATTAAAAAAAAAAACATTTTTTTGTTTAGAATCTTTTAGATTATATATATGTCTTAAGTAAAAAAACTTTTACTCTTTAAAAATAATTCAATTGTTTTTTGTCACATACACATCTGCAAAAATTAGGTTGCATCACTGAACTAAAAACTAGAAAAATTTAATTATTACAATGAAATTTGTTTGGCTTTAAGGCAAGGTTTTTTTAGAAGTTTTAATCTAAACTTTCCACCACTATTTTAAAAAAATTGGTTAAAAAGCATTATATTAACTTATAGTTATATATTAATTAAGCATTATATTAACTATATAGTTATAACTTAAAGTCAAAATATCATTCAAATGTTCAGATTTTGTTGTAGATTTTATTTGAATAAAGTTATCGTTTTAGAATTCTGAAGGACTATTAGTAAATATTTGTAAATTATTGGATTTATGTTGTCATTTTCTTATAAAGTTGTAAATTTTTAAGAAATGGAATCGAAATTAGAAGTAAGAAAAAATGTTATGCAGAATACCAAGCTAATTATGTTTCTCAGAATGCTAATAAAAAGAAAGAAATGTTTAGAGAAAAAAAGAGATATCAAGAAAAAATAAAAGCCGATCCTAATAAAAAAGCAGCTTATGCTTTAAAAATTAAGAATTGTAAAAAGTCGGGCTCTAAAAAGAAAACTTAAGATCAATTTCAAAGACTAAGCTCATTTATCAAGATCTAAGAGATATCAAGAAAAAAAAAAAGCTGATCCTAATAAAAAAACAGCTTATGCTTTAAAAATTAATAACTGTAAAAAGTCAGACTCTAAAAAAGAAGCTTAAAATCATTCTCAATAACTAAGCTCACTTTTAAAAACGTTCAACAAAGAGGAAAAGCATTAAAAAAATTTTAAAACCACTACCAACTTTAAAAAAGAAACAATCTGAAATTCTTTTTATTCTTTCAAATAGCTCTGCTTGTAAAGATAATTCGTGTTTACCTCCAGCATGTTCAAAGCTGTATGGTCTTTCTGAAAGCGATGTTTTAGCAGTTATAAAATTTATAATGAAGATGTTTCCCAAATATCACAAAACAAAAAAGATGTCACTCGAATTCAATTATCTGACAGAAAAACAAACAATTTTCCAATGCGTCATTTATATTATATGGTGAAAGAAGCTTTCGAGTTATTCAAGAAAAAGCATTTCTTTGCAGCAATGCGCAGGAAAGGAATGGTTGAAAGAATTGGAACTACTGTTAAGCAAATCACACACCTGAGAGTTAAATCTAGTCGATATGAAATCAGGTCAGCAGCAGATTTTTCGTTAGCATTACAAGATTTGCAAATACCTGTAATTTATATGTCAGAAAGCAACACAAGACAAAAAAAAAAATGAACTTGGATTAAGTTCAAAGCTATATTACTATCACATTATTTTTATGCTCAGAATGATAATGTTGTTCTGACACTATTTTCACCTGAGTATAATCAAAATTTGTTACAAAATAACAAAACTTTTTAAAATGATTTTAATTCTTAAATTTAATTTTTAAAATGATTTTGATTAAAAAATAATTTAATTTTTTTTTTTTTTTTTTTTTTGTCACTGAATGTTGCATCACTGAACTGTTTATTTCTGTAAAATAAAACGAGATGTAAACTTTGTTGTTTGTGGGTTTTTTTATGACTGCCTTATTGCCAAATGAATAAATTACAACAAATAAATCTAATTACTCTATCAAGAATTAAAATTTCAGCAAAAACTCCCTTCAAGAGTATGCTGATAAAATAACACTTATTTTATCAGCATACTTTTGAAATTTATAGTTGTAAAAAGTTGTATAATTTTCTAAATATACATATATATTATGCATATTTTTCAGCAAAAGTCCTATAAATATACATATATATTATGCATATTTATCAGCCAATGTGCTAATAATTTAAATATATACTAAGCATATTTATAAGCAAAAGTCCTATAAATATACATATATATTATGCATAATTATCAGCGAAAGCCTATAAATATACATTTATATTATGCATATTTATCAGCAAAGTCCTATAAATGACTTCAGGTTTAGAGACAAATATTAACTGTTTTTTACCTCTTTTTATTTATTTATTTATTTATTGCAATAAACTTAGGATTTCTTCTGAATATAACATGTATATATAAAAGTATTTCGAATTTGGATATTTACAGATCCTATATAATTACATAAGAACAACAGATTTGCAGCTGTATTTACTCTTTGTTAAGCTTAACAGAGCTTTTATCTGAAATTTCATTGCATTATTTCAAAGTAAAGAAATGACGAAAACTTTATTTATATTTGTTTAAATAAAACAAATACAAAATAAAACATTTATTTTTAAAAAAATTATATTTTTAAAGAATTTTTTTATTAATGTATTTGAAAAGAAATTTTTAGCTAACGCTACGTTAAGATTAACAGAGAGATGAGAATATGACCCCTAATGTTTAGTGGTTAGAAAAATTGTTTGACAGTTTATTATAAATTATATTTTGCATTAATTATATTTTACAGTTTGTTATAAATTACTTTATTTATTAAATTGTTATTTATTTGTTATAATAAATTTCTATAGCAAGAAGAATGTTGTTTGGTGGTTCTACTTGATCATGCCATGAATTTAAATGTATGTTTTTAATAAGATTTTTTTTTTTTAATCTTTATTGAATAATAATAATAATAATAAAGTGATTAGAACGAATTGAATTTTTCAAAGTTCTCTTAGTCAATTATAAAATCTCTTAATGGAATGATAAAGTTTAATTTGATTGAATTGGATTGTAGTGTGGTGATGCCAATACAATTGTTATAATAATATATGACTACAGCTACCACACTATGGTGGCTGTTGGTTTTGATATTTGGTAACAATAACATTTTCCTTATAGTGAAAACTTCAATAATTATCTTAATATTTTACTGCCAACAGATGCCAACAGATGCCAACAGTTCAATTTTCAACAAAAATATAATCTTTCAATATTTTTTAATATTTTATTAATCTTTTAAATCTTTCAAGTAGTTTCTTATGCAAAATTTTCCTCTATGGCTTTTAGCATTGTAGCTTTCTTTTTCAATACATAAATAGTAGGACTGCAGAAACTCAAAATTAAATTGCAATTTATGTTAGTTTATTATAATTTATGTTCACTGCATCTTTTGATCCTCAAAAGTATAAAAATATAATTTTTATATTATTATACGTATTGTTGGGATATTATTTTGCCTCATTATCACCAGGGTTGGAATCAAACAAGTATCTGTATTTGCTAATAATAGGTTATATTGTCGTATTTATATTTGTTTTTTATTTGATTTAAAAAAATATATATATTTGTTGTTGTATTTAACTGAAATGTGTTTGTAGTTCCACAAACTGAAGTTTACTGACGTTTGTAGTTCTATAAGTTGACTGACGTTTTTTGGGGGAAAGTCTAAAGATTTGTAGAGTGATCTAAAAAATTAAAAGATTTATAGAGTGATCTAAAAAATCTAGAGATTTCTTGTTTTTTCACTGTAAACACTAAAATAGTTAAAAAATTTAGTTTTCAAGTTTCTAAAAAGACTTGTTTTCATTCTTTTATTTAGTATACCATTCTATCAGTCTTGAAAAAATCTTTGTATTTTTATAAACCTTAAATATAAATATTTGTATTTGCAAAATGCCGATTATATGTATTTATAATTGAATTTATATTTGGGAATCTAGAATTAACGTATTAGTATTTGACCTGAACCCTGGTGATCTTTTTCCTTCGTGACTAGCGGTTATCTTTGAAGATTCAAAAGTAATTTCTGAACCTTAAATAAAAGTTCTTTATTTTGGGCCTGCCCTCTTTTTATGTGGTCTATTTGCTAATCGAAATTATTTAACTGAATCATTTTCAAATGTAAAAAAATGTAAATAAAAATTTTGAATTCTTAAAACCTCTTTCATACGATTTTAAAAAAAAATTATTTTTGTAATTGAGTTCTAAAATACTTATATGTCTTCGAGTTCGAAATGTGGCGGTTCAATATTTTAAATTAGTCAAAATTAGTAAAACAGTTTAATATTTGGTATATCAATCACTAGTGGAAATAAACCGCATTATTCTAATATCAAATATTTTTCGTCACTAACTACTGCAGTTCTAGTTAATGGTTGTAATGTGTAGGTGTATATTAATTAATTCAAATACTTTTTAGAGATCACTTTTTATATAGGTTGCAAACAAAAATAGCGCTAGTGCATATGTGGAAATAACAGTGAACAACACAACTCTTAAATCAAAGGTTTTATTTTTTTTTTTACATTTAAAAAATTCGAATTTATTTTTAATTATCAATTTTGTACAATTTAAATTGATATTGATTTTAGACTCAACGCAATACAAATCATCCAGTGTGGGAGGAGACGTTTTCATTTTTTCTCGGCAATGTTTTCAAGGATATTGTCAAACTCAGAGTATTTTTTTTTTATCTTTAGATAACTGTTATATGTTGCTTGCAATATTGCAATATATTGCTTGCACTATTGCAATTCATAATTTTTAGAGCATAATACGTAATGCACATATTTGCTATGCATTTTATAGTTAGTTTATTCGTGATTTTTTATTTTAGGTTTTTGATGAGAACGAAAACAAACCTCTTGGAAAGATTGATTTTGCTGTTTCTGCACTTACAGATCTCCCTGACATGCGTCTGAAACAAAACTTTACGCTAAAGAACTCTTTTGAAAATTCACAGATATTTATGTCTCTTGAGTTGAAGGTATTTTTATTTGTGCATTTTATTTTTATTTGTATTATTACAATTATAATATTAATTATTATGCCTAATATTTTAGAATTATTACTTCTTTTAATTTTTTATTTTGTTCAGGCATTGGTTCCTCCAGTTTCTTCAAAATAAGCAAAATCGTTTAACCAAGATTTATATAGTTATCAATTTATGGTTATTAAACTTTTTTAGTAATTAGAAGTTTAACCTTTCGATAGAAAATTTTTGTTATTAGAATCATTTAGAATCTATTTAAACTTAATTGTTTGCAATCGTTGTACTTTTTCATCCAATCGTTGTGCTTTTTCATCCAATCGTTGTGCTTTTTCATCCAATCGTTGTGCTTTTTCATCCAATCGTTGTGCTTTTTCATCCAATCGTTGTGCTTTTTCATCCAATCGTTGTGCTTTTTCATCCAATCGTTGTGCTTTTTCATCCAATCGTTGTGCTTTTTCATCCAATCGTTGTGCTTTTTCGAGTTCTTTAGAAGTTTTTCAGATTACGATTAGTTTTTATCCGATAACGTTTTTATTATAGTATTTTATTTTTGGGGTGTTTTTTGGTGTATAACCTTTGTTAAATGCAAGGAGTTACAGAGGAAGGTGAAAAAACAGTCTACTTAAAAAATAGTTTGTTAAGCTATCTAGAAAAATGTTTCTGAAAATGAAGTTTTTTTTTATTCAAAATTTATTTATGCAATTTTTTTTTATTTATTATAAGCTTATGTTTACGTTTGTATAATTATATTTATGTGTGCGTATGTGTGTGTACGCACGCACGCGTTTTTAAATGCTTTTTATTTAATAACTATAATTATTGTTATAAATATTGTATTTATGTATATAAAAATGAATCTTTATATGTTAACTATGGGTTATACCAATCATCCGATCACATGTCCAAGAGCATTGGAAAAACATTTCTGCAAACTCGTGTTAAGGCCGTTTTCCACAAGTTTTCCGTGTTAAGGCTGTTTTGATTTCCACTTATTTTTTTTTTTGCGCTACTTTTTTTTTTTGTTGTCAACAATAAAAATGACAGCAATAAGTTTACGCTGTATGTTCTATTATTATACTATTAGCAGTAAGCAACCCGTAATACGCGTTGTTAGTAAATAAAATTAAAAAAAAAAAACCGCGTATAGAAAAGCCTAGAAACTACTTTAAAATAGAAAAGCCTAGAAAATGACGTAGTTTGACTAATAATATTAAATTAGCGTATTGATAATATCAGATTATTACTTTTTAAATTACTTTAAAGCAATCATTACTTTTTTAGCATACTTTCTATTTTGAAGCATGTGAAAATTTCTTTCCATGCATTAATTTTAACACTTCTGTCTTTATATGTTGGATGTAATATCATTTTGTAATATAATTTAGTATAAAGTTTTTTTATTAGAAAGTATAAGAAAATGCTAAACTCTGATGAACATTTCTGTTAAACTGTTACTGTGAGAACGAACAGCAGGTTTATCTCTATGTAGGGTTTTTCACAAAAAGGTTTATCTTCGTTTGGTCACTTGAAGATAAACCTTCTTATGAAGTGTAACTTTCGAAATTGACAGTGTGCATTCTTAAATTCTCAATTTAAGTCTTATTCTTTATTTGATGAATTTACTAATGCTTGTCAATTTTCAGAGTAAGTTCATATAAAATCAATAAGAACGCCAGGTTAAGAATTTTGTTTTTTGTAACTTCAAGGTGGTACACTAGAAAAAAAAAATGACAAAAAATAAATTTTTTTTGATTTATTTTTTAATTTTATGAAAGATTGACCCTTTAAGTTGACTTTTTAAAAAAAAATTTGATATTCTCGTTAAAGTATATAGCTTAACTTTGACCTACTTGAACCCCACTATTATATAAAACTCCTTAGCAACAAGTTTTAACTTTATTTGGAAGTGGTTTTTAATAGCAATTTTAAGATGAAAGCATAAAGTCATCAATATATAATTATTTTTGTTTTACCCAGTCTAAACTACATTGATAGATGTCGCAAATCTTTTTAAACAGTTCAAAATCTTCTATCTCTACATAAATAGTAGGACTGCAGAAACTCAAAATTGAATTGCAATTTATGTTAGTTTATTATAATTTATGTTCACTGCATCTTTTGATCCTCAAAAGTATAAAAATATAATTTTTATATTATTATACGTATTGTTGGGATATTATTTTGCCTCATTATCACCAGGGTTGGAATCAAACAAGTATCTGTAAATTCAATTATAAATACATATAATCGGCATTTTGCAAATACAAATATTTATATTTAAGGTTTATAATCTTCAAAATGGTCTATTTTTTTTTTTTTTTTTTTTTCTTTGCATTAATGTTTTATTTATCAAATCATGATAACTTAAGTAAACTTTATGTTTATGAGCTGAAATTTTCAGGAAAAATGTTTATGCAATATTGATGCTCCGTTTGACCCATGGGTTTTTCTTGGATTTGGTTAAATAAAAAGTTATTGCTTTAAATAAAAAAAACAAAATTCTCGCGATTTTCTTTAATATACCGTGGCCCATACTTATATAACAAAATAATACTTCAAAATATGGAACTTAATAAAATGGATAACCTTATTGCTCTGAAAAAAAAACTAAAACATATCATAATTAACTTAACCAACTTCATCGAAATGTATTAAACAATTTGGGAAAAATAGTAATAATAAAAAGCCCTACTACTTCTACTATATAGTAGATACCAAATACTTATGTTTATTTGTTGAACTAGTTCATTAAAGTTTATTTTATGTTTTAAAGGTTCTCGATGAAAAGGCTATTTTAGTCTTCTGCGAGTTTCTTTACAATTTTATATATAATTATATATATATATATATATATATATATATATATATATATATATATATATATATATTCAACAACGACCACAAGCAAGTCCCTAGTAGCCCTGTGGTACGACGGACTTGCATATATTTTTTAAATGCATGGGTTTTATATTACTTTATATTATAAACAACGAATAGTTACCTTATTTTGTACATTGTACAACGCACATGCGCTGAACAGAATTTTGAATTTTGTCTTGTAAAAATTTTAATGGTAAAATTTGTCTTGTAAAAATTTTAATGGTACAAAAATTGTTAAATTGTAGGTTTTGTACTTATATGTAAAAATATGTAATTTTGTTTTATTGAAATATATACGGATACTTGTGCTGTAAAAAAAAAAAAAAAAAAAAAAAAAATCTATAGAAGTCAAAAATTTTCAATTTTTTTAGTAAACTCGTGATAAAAAAAAGTAATTTTCAAAAAATTTAAAAACGCATGGGTTAAACGGTGTATAAAAAGTTGTTTTATAACTGTATCGATTTTCAATCCATAATCTTTTCACTAGATCAAAATATTATGTTTTGAAATACAGCCTTTATTGTTCTTTTTTCCGCCATTATGGATTTTTCAAGTTTTAAAATTTATCTTTTTAAATAAAAATAATTATAACAATTTATTAAAGCTAGTTTTGATCAAAAAGATACAAAGTTTCATTTTTTTCCTGGTGTACCACCTTATAAACAACGTGCTTTCGCTTTTTTCACTGTTGACATCACGTGATATAATATTCAAAATTTGATTGGTTTTCGCTTTTGGCGATTCGCAAAAAGTAAAAGACTTTTTCTTCGCTGAAGCGAAAAAAAATCAGTATAATTGCCAGAAAAGTTTTATTTGCGCATGCTTATCGACTAAAAAATTCGCTTCTCGCAAATATTTCGTCTTGTGGAAAACGGCCTTTAAGGTTACAACCATAAGCTAAGCTTAAAATTTTAGTCACTAGCAAAAAAAAAAAACTTTCGAAACACGCTATAGTAAATATATTTAATGTTTTTGTTAAATTAGTTTAGTTAATTGCACTTAAATGCTCTTTATTTAATTATTCAAATTGTTAATTGTGCATACTAGTATTTTTATGAAAAACGTGGAAAATAACATGTCAACTTAAATGCAAATTTCTAAAAATTAAGTTTAAATTCGATAAAGATTAAAAATTGAAAAGTTGTTAAATGAAAATTAAATTTAATTTGTGATAAAAAACTTTTTTTTCGGATTTTGTAAAAACTATCGAATAGCTAAAGTAATTTCGGAACTTTAAATTTAATTTTGAAAACTCATTTTAATTTCGAAAAATATATATATACTAAAATAACTTTGAAATTTAAGTTGAATTTCGAAAAGTTAAATAAACTTCGAAAAAAAGTTGAGTTTCAAAAAGTTAAATTAGTTTCGGAAAAAAAAAAACATTTCGATTAGTTAAATTGTTTTCGGAAAAAAAAAAAAGTTTTACAAAGGTAAATAATTTTTGAAAAAAAGAAAATAAACTTCGATATGATAAATTGATTTTGAAAAAAAAAAAAAAAGCTTTTCAATTAATAGGCCAGCGTCTGTGGCTTCAAATTCCAACACTTTCGTTAACTAAGTTTACTAACTTGCGTTAAAACGCAAGTTAGTAAACTTAATTACTCGATAACTAAGTTTGATAACTTGCGTTTTAAGTACCCTAGAATCTAACATAAAAAGTTCCCATTCTAAAAGTGTCCCAAGCGATCAGTATAGACCCCCAAAGTAACCCGTTATCGTAAGATTTCGATTTCATTCAATTTTCAATAAAATATTTTGCAGAACCACGTTTTACTCTGATTTTGCCGTCTAAAACCATTCTGCATTATAATCTAATTATAATTATAATTAATACATGATCCTTAACATTCTACTTTACAATTGATCTTTATGAATTTTTGATTTTGTTATAATAAATATAAATAGATCTGTTCATTTGTCAAAATAGGACTTGGATATTTATCACGCGTCAGCAAATTAGGAAATAAGAGGCTTTTTTTTTCTTTTTTTTTTTTTTTTTTGTGGGTTTTATTAAAATTTCATATGCTAGTAAAAATAAGTTTTTTATTGCCAAAAACTGCCTACATTAAATTCCATATATATTTAACTTTCCATATACTGCTGCGAAAAATAAAATAGCACCACCACCAAAAATTGGTTGAAATTAGAAACTTTAACTAATTTTGATGGTTTGAAAATCTTTTAAATACATATTTGAAAGTAAAATGGTTTATAATTTTTATAAAAAACAAAATATACAAGTTTTAATATATAGTATTCATTTATTAAACAAAAATTCAAAAAAAAATCAAATGAAACGCGAAAAAAATAACAGCACCACAGCTTTAATGTGTATTTTGAAATAAGGAAATATTATGAGATCAATCGTTTTAAACATTTTACAACAAATATTAGTTATTTCTTAACATATTAGTATTTTGTAGCGTGACCTTTATTTGCAATAACGGCTACACAAAGTCTTGGCATCGATTTAACCAAGTCCTGACATCGCTTTAGCGGAATTTTGCTCCATGTCTCCTTAACTACGTTCCAAAGTGACTCCTTCGTGGTGGGTTTGGCAGCAGCAACCACCTCCTTTACGTTAGCCTCAAATTTTCGATTGGTTTAAGATCTGGCGACTGTGCTGGCCGTAACGTTCACTTTATGCTTCTCAAACCAATTCTTTGCCTTCTTGCTTGTGTGCTTTGGTTCATTGTCCTGTTGGAACTCCCAGGACAACGGTATTTCATAGTCTGCATACGGCAACATCACTTTATCCAATATATTAACATAAACGTGTTGGTCCATAATAGTAGTAATGTGATAAATGGGCTTTACCCCGTAATAAGAAAAGCATGCCCATATCATTATACTACAACCTCCATGTTTAATAGTTTTGATGGTTTATTTTGGATTGTATTCTGCATTCGGTGGTCTTCTGAAATACGCCCGAAAGCCTTTTCCACCATAAAGCACAATCTTACTTTCGTCTGTCCATAAAATATTCCTCCATTTTTCGAGTGGCTAATTTGAGTGTTTTTTAGCAAACGAAATACTTTTCTGGGGCTACAGGCTTTTAATCCATTAACTTGCAGACAACTCCGAACTGCTAGTACTGTTGCATCGATGTTAAAGTCCTTTTTCAGCTCGGTAGCTGTTTTAAAAGGTTCCTTTTTAGCCTGTCGGACTAAGCAATTGGCCAGCAATGTTGAAATAGAACGTTTTCGACCACGTATTTCAGGCTTTTCTTGAAATTTGTGGCATTTCTTATCATTTTATTGGAACACTCAACTAAACAACCAACTACTCTATAAGATTTCCCTGCTGATATTACCTTTTGGATCGTTACTTTTTTTTTGTGCACTACAATGCTTTCCGCTTTTCCATTTTTATATGTAAATGTCTCCTACTAATACTCACTAACATAAAACGAATAAAACAGCAAAAAAAAAACCCCAAAGATTGCTATTTTCACAATAATTTCGTCATCAGAATATTTTACAACAAAAGAGTGTGTGGTGCTATTTTATTCTTCGGTCAGAATTGGCATTTTTGATTAAAATCGAGCAAGCAGTTTTTTTCCCAAAATGACATCAAGCAGTTTTTTTCCCAAAATGATTTGTTTTAGAAAATAAACATGTTAGCTAATATTTTAAACAGCAAAGCTATTTAAAAAAAAATTATTTTACATGGTGTTTTCTTAACAAAAAAGAAAATACCCTTGGTGGTGCTATTTTATTTTTCGCAACTGTATGCCAGTTCCAATGTTAACAAATTCTTTTGGCGCACTTATGCCAATTTGCATTTATTCTAATTCACCCTTAAGCCAGTTTGCCAATGTTTTAAATGTATTCGGCGCACTTATTCTAGTTTTTGCAACTGCTTCGCACTTATAAAATTCGCACTTATTCAGTCGTCCAATCAAATGGTGCCTAATACACATTTAAAAAAGCTAGAACTTTCTAACCTAAGGTAGGATATGTGTTATACCCTTAGTAAAATATAGTTTTAAACCTTTTGAGGTAATTTTTATTCTAAAAATAATGATTTTTTATACAATTTTCTACCTTAAAGATATCGTTTCCTTCCTTAAAAGGTAAAAAATTATACTTTACTAAGGCTATATCACATATCCTACCCTAAGGTACAAACTTCGACTTTCTTTTTAAGTGTATAAACGATGAAAAAAACGCATTAATCGCATAAATTTTAATTTATAAATGGGATAAGTTGTCTGGAACACCTTCTAAACATGTTTCCGGTACCACCCACTATTGTCTGGAACACCTTCTAAACATGTTTCCGGTACCACCCACTATTGTCTCATTTCAAATTACTATTTTATAAAAATCGTAAAAGTTAAAATAAATTTTTTTTTTTTTTACAAATGTTGTAAATTATATTTTTATCATAAATAACTAAAAAGTTAAACATATAAATAATAATTAAATACGATTATAAGTAAATCAAATTTGATGACACTGTTATTCTGTTAACTACCATCCGATCACAATGGAATATTGAATATATTGCAATTGAATATATTGAATATATTAAAATGGAGTATTGGGGCAAATTTGGGGCAAATTTACATTAAAATCACTAAAAGGAAGTTTTTATAGTACACAAAATCAAAGCTCCTTTAGTTTAAGCAGTACACCAAGAGTCCAGGGCTATCCGAATTTCCCCTACATGTCAACGTATCCATATAATACTATTAATTTATTAATTCTTCTTCTTATGAAAAACATCAATTTAGTCATCTTATGAAAAATACAATCAAAAACACTTTTAATTGATATTTCCTGTTTTAATCTAATTAAAAATATTACAATAGTAATTCGAAGTTATAATGGAGATAATTTGTTTAAAAATTTGATCTAAAAGTAGCTTTGACAATAATAACAAACATAGCTTTATTTATATATAGCTGTTAAAAGCACTAATCAAAAGTAAATTTAAGTTACGTATTCAAGGTGATAGTCGAACATATGACCATCCATTTTCTCCAGTTTGTTGATGTTCATAATTTGATGACTGAACAAATTTAATCCGGTCATGAATGCGACCCGAACCACCACACCAAAACTCAAAATCTTTTGGTGTCAACAAATAACCACCCCTATATGTGCAAAACAATAAAATACAATAAAGCCAATAAAAAATAAAATTTTTAAATAAAAAGCTTTGAAATGATAAGTTTATAAAACATTTAAAAAAAATTTGCAAGACAGTGTTTCTTGACAAATTTTGAGCGTGTTAGTTCGCACAAGCGGGAGATTTTATTGTATAAATTTATAATTGAATCTTGTTTAAATTGTACCAAAGTATACCAGTTTCCAGTACACCACCCAGACTTTAAAATTTCGTGGTAACTTTAAATTTATTTTTATGCTAACATTTTATTATTTTTGTATATCGCAACAAACTACAGTGGCGTACTAATGTAATTGGACAAACAGCTTTTTTGTTATATTTTCTCATTAAGTTAAATTTATAAAATCAAATTTCTTATAAGTATGTCATATTATACTACAATAATGAAAAACTAATGAAAAATTTAAATTTGGAAGTGATAACTCAAAATTTAACACTCCCAAAGAGTGCAAATGATTGGCTTAAAAGTAATTAACACTCCTAAAGACTGCAAATGATTGGCTTAAAAGTCATCAACACTCCCAAAGAGTGCAAATGATTGGCTTAAAAGTAATTGGACTAACTAAATACGTCCTTTCAAAACAATATTGACACAAATGCTAAACTTTTAGGATATCTTTATGATAATTTCTGTTATATATAATGTTACATAATGTTACATTTAATTACATACAGTTTATAAACTGTAAATAATGCTAGTATTTGGTTGAAAAACCTTTTGCCTCAATGATAGCATTGCATTTACGTGGTATTGAACCAACCAAATTATTTATAAAATGACTGGTATTTCCTCCTTGGTACATTTAATCAACTCAAATAAATCCTTTTAATTAGCTGGCTTGTGACCACAAATTATTCTGGTCTGGAGATTGTGCTGACCATTCTAAGACTCAAACTTTTTTGGGGGGTAAAAACTTCCGGGACTAGCTTGGATGCGTGCTTTGGATCGTTGTCATGTAGGAAAGTCCAACCATGCGACTTTTTGTTCATTGCATGTGGCAGCATTATGTCCTTGATTATTCCTTTATACATGTTTTTGTCCATAGTGCCTTGAACTTGATAGATCAGACCTACTACATCATCAACTTGATAGATCGAGCCTACTACATCATCAATTTGATAGATCGGACCTACTACATCATCAACTTGATAGATCGGACCTACTACATCATCAACTTGATAGATCGGACCTACTACATCATCAACTTAATAGATCGGACCTACTACATCATCAACTTGATAGATCGGACCTACTACATCATCAACTTGATAGATCGGACCTACTACATCATCAATTTGATAGATCGGACCTACTACATCATCAACTTGATAGATCGGACCTACTACATCATCAACTTGATAGGTCGGACCTACTACATCATCAACTTGATAGATCGGATCTACTACATCATCAACTTGATAGATCGGGCCTACTACATCATCAACTTGATAGATCGGGCCTACTACATCATCAATATGATAGATCGGACCTACTACAACATCAACTTGAGAGATCGGACCTACTACATCATCAACTTGATAGTTCGGACCTACTACATCATGGCTAAAAAATGACTAAACCATTACTGAGCCATCACCATGCTTCACAGTGTGAACTTCATCACCATGCTTCACAGTGTGAACTTAATACTTAACATCATTTCGGTGACCTACTGAACATCGAACATATTTAATATCACTAGAGCTAAACATATTAAAATTTGACTCATCGCTCCATAATACTTTTAACCATTGCAGTGCTTTCCAATTTAAATGCTCTGTAGCAAATTTCAGTCATATTTTACAATTTTATTGCATAAACAAAATGTTATTTAATGAGACGGCAACCAAAAAGGTTGTTTATGGAATGTTTTTATTTAAAATGTGTGTTTATAAAAAACAGTTTTTTTAAAAAAAGTTTTAAAAGTAGTTGGAAATTAGTTTGCCCATTAACTTTTAAAACAATCATTTCCATTCTTTTATTAAAATTTTGAGTAATTACTCTCAAATATGATTTTTTTTTTTTACAACTGTAGTATAACTTGACATACATGACAAAAAATCTAATTTAAAAAAGTTAACTTAATGAGAAAATATAACAAAAAAGCTGTCCAAAAAACAAAAAAGCTGTCCAAAAGTATTTACTTTTGGACGCTACTGCATAAACAACAAACTAAATAAACATAAAAATGTGAACGGTTGTGTGAGTGCTTCTGGGACACAGAACTCACAAACCCATATTTGTCATAGTTTGTTACAATATATAGAATTGTGGATGTGAAAACACAAAAGTTAATTGATCTAAATTTATCAAATTCTGTAAAAAATTCACTAACCTTTATTACCCCCTATTGTATAAGGTTAAAAGATTTTTATATCATTTAAAACCGCTATATTGTTTGTCTATCGTTTATCAAATACATCTATGTATAAAAACACTCACCAGTTATCTGGTTTTGGAACAACTTTTCCACTAAATTCTTCTGTCAATTTTTTTCTTCGTTCTTCAAGGTACTGCAATAATAATGTATAGGATTGATTATACATTCAAATAAACAAAAACATTCAAAAAAACAACTATAAAAAAATTTATTAGTAAAAAAAATATTTTTTTATAGCTGACGTATATTTAAAAAAGGTTTTATAAGAAATATAATTTTTTTTTTCTAAAAACACTTCTTTGAACTTTTTATTTCTCAGTCAATAAAACATAGTCTGATTGACTGAGAAATAAAGAGATAATCATTATGTGGCTGAGAAATAAAGAGATAATCGTTGTGGTTGAGAAATAAAAAGAAAATCATTATGTGGCTGAGAAATAAAGAGATGATAGTAATAGAGATAAAAAAAATAAAGGTAATAGTAAACTATTTAGTAGAAAATTTAAAATATTTAAAATTTAGTAAAAATATTTTCCGTTTGTTTAACAAATCTATATTGAGCAAAAGCAATTTGTCTTCAACCTGTTACCTGAGACTTGCACAATACTGAACCTTTTTTTTATTTGATACAGAACTAGTATAGTATAGTAATTACTCCCTTTTAACTCGTTTACACAAATTTACACAATAAAGTTGTTATACACGCGCTCTCTCTATTGATCTGAAATAAACATACTTATAATAAAAACTTTAATATTTTTATCAAAAACACAATACTTTAAATACTTTAATACTTTAAATACTTTACTTTATAAATACTAATACTTTAATACTTTAAATACTTTAAATACTGTTAAAAACAGGATTCTGTACTTGTAGTAAATCTGTACTTAAATGAAGTAAATATTTTTAAAAACACTTAGTGAACTTCAATTCGAGGCGCATCTGTACTCATTAAAAACAATTGGACAAACTTCATAAAAACTAGTGACTTTTTGAAGCTTCAAAATATCTACATTTTTTTTTTCAATTTATAGGTATATACATGGCAACTACAAAATTTCTTAAAACAATTATAGAGTTTTTATTTAAATTTTTAACCAAATAATCATTTTACTTTGAATATATGTTAAATGTCAGCCTGATCATGTGAAAATAAATTAAAAAATTTTTAATCACTTTTTATGAGGCTTTAAATTCACTTTTTAAGTGTTCAATAAACTTTAAATACCCAGGAAAAATGTTTACTGCTCGTTCACAAGGGCTTTGATTCTCACACCAACAATGACCACTAAAAAGTCTTATATCTTTATTTCAAGAATATTTTTATAGACATTTTTTCGCAAAGAACATTCATTCAGAAATTCTCTCATCGCTTTTAATTTTCTTCCTCATTTTTCTTCCATTCAGATTGATGCTTTAAATGTTTTCATGAACTATGGACACATGTACCATGTATGGACACATGTACCAATTGCTATTAATGCTGCAAACTCATTAAGCTTGTCTTTTTACTAGTCATGAAAATTAAAAATTAAAACCATCTGAAGATATTTGAATCATCTTATGTGAAGCCAAGATATACCTTGATTTTATTTATTAACTTGAATCCCCCTTAAAATTCTAGCCCTTCTATTTTGTATGGTCCCAGATATCTTTTAAAAATCTTATTTGATTTAATAATTTTATTCATTGTTTTATTCATATATTCATTAATTGATTCACTCGTTATTTTATTCATTGATTCAGAACTGTTTAGTGACATCTTTATATGGTTTAATGACTCATCAAAAGATACAAAAACAGGTATTTATAATATTTCTTTATACAACAAACCAAAAAAGTATGGTGCAATATAGTATATTTTAACATAACCACACTTTGTTCCACCTTAGCTGAAACTTTTATTGCAAAATTAGTATCAGAAATAATTTATATAAATAGCGAGATCCATTTCAAGATATTTGAAAAGCTTTTGATAAAGCTACATATAACACTTGTCTAATTTCAGCAGATATAACTTGTGTATTTACAAATATTACATCCAATGTCTTAGAAATTTCAACAATTATTGTATATATATACACTTACTAAAGCGCATTTTTATAAGCATTTGCTCACTTTTTTTGCTTACCTTAATTCATACGGCTTTTTAAGAAAAAGAAGAAAAAAAATAAAGAATGATGAATGAAACAATTGCCCCATACCTAACCCTGAGTTGATGTAGCAGCACTCCACTGCGAATCAGGCTATTTGTCAGTCGATGTATGTACTGAAGCCCCCAGCAGCAGGCTATTTCGGTATGACGTCAGACTGCTTACCTTAGTACGCAATACTATTTGTAACAATTTAGATTGTTGAAATATTATATAAATATTATATAAATATTATATATAACATACAATGACATAAAACAAGTTCACTAATAAAAATATTTGCTTATTAAAATGGAAGATCAAGAAAAAGTCATCATTATCATTAACAAAACCTTCTGTGATTTGACAACAGTATCAGGATAGAAAATTTACTTGTTGAGTAGGATTGAGGAAATTCACTTGATCTGTTGCTACATAAAACTTGATCAAATCTTATAACAACATTACTCTGTTTTATTTTTCTATTCTAAAAAGTTATTTTTTAATATTTTTTGAGGTTTTCATTACATTCTTATGTTTATTTTCATCATGTTGTATTCATAATCATATTATTTTCCAAAACCTCTGCAAAAAATTCTCAGCAAAATAAAGTTTTGTATACAATATAAAGTAAATGTACAACAGCACCATACCAACAATATCTTTTTTAGAGTTTTTAAAATATGATATTTAAATGAAAAAATAAGACAAATTGTTATTGGTAAATATTTAGTCATAATAACCGAAACTACGGGCATTGCTAAACAGACTTTGATAAATGATGCAAATAATTAATGAAAACTCATCAATTTTTCATAAAAAACAAGATTTTTTAAAGGTTGTATTTTTGTTTTTTTGTTTTGAAAATTTGTATAGAAAGGTTGTAGGTTTAGCCTTCCCTTTTTATACTGTTTCTATAATATAAAAAATCTGAAGCATTTTCTTTCCTTAACTAAAGCTTATTCATACCATAAATAATGCACTCTGCCCAAGTTTTTTTTTTACCTCTACCATTTTCTCCTGAAGTTGCTACCTCTCTACATGTTGATACCCAAACCACTTTAATCTTCACTGACAAACTTTGTTTAATACAACGTTTTAGTTACCTCTGAATAATAAAAGATGAAAATTGTGCAAGTGAAAATTAAAACAAAGTTGATTAATGAATGTAAGATAATATAACATAAAAATTCCTTGTTAACAATAATATCAGCAATATGAATATCAGCAGATAAATAATATATAAAAAATTATTGTAATAAGACTAACTAAATCTTAATAATACTGAACTTAATAGTAGTGCGCTTTCGAGCCTGTTTGACACGGTACCCTTGGCAGCCATTGCAACTAAGGTAATGGTGAGAAAGAGTTGCAGCAGCTTTGTTTTATAAGAAAATGTGAATGAAGGTGTATCTTTAGACGAAGGTGTATCTTTGAATTAAACTGTATGTTTAGTGTATTTTTATTATTTATGTAATAAAGTTTTGTAATAATAAATAGATAGCTTTACAGTTTTACTTGCATTGCGACATCTTCTTAATTTTGATCAAAAGCATTTATTTCCCTTTTATATAGACTTTTGATTTTTAAATATTGTATAAAAGTCTAAAGTATAACATGGCTGAGCGGTTAGTGTGCCGACATACGGAGGTGGAGATCGGGGTTCAAGTCCTATCGAAGGAATCCTTTTTTTTTTCTATTGATTTTTTTAAATAAAAAATAAAACACTTTAAAAAAGAATAATGAAATTGTTTTGTTTTGCATTTTAAAAATAAAAAAAAATTTTTAAAAAAAAGCAAGCTTGCCAGGCGGCAACCTAAACTTTTTTTGAACACAGTAAGTTTAAATAAAATGTTTTTACTAAGAACAAAATAAAAAATCTTTTTTCTTTTTTGAATAATAAGTTTGTACGCTATGTCTATAATTAGTATTTTTGTAGTTAATCAATTGTTAGTTGATGATGCTGTTGTAGTTTACTTTTTTTTGTAAATAAAACTTTTTATATATTTTGTTTTGTTATTATGTATAAATAAATTAATTTACATTTAATACATGTGGTGTACTTTTTCTTTTTCAAAAAAACTTAGTTACATAAAATTGACTAATTAGATAAGTCATTAAGTAGAATGCCAAAAATATATATGGCGGTTTTGTTGCTAAGGGTGACTAATAGACAAGTAAATTATAAACTAATCAGGGTTTTTTACCAAAATTATTTTATTTTACCAAATACTATTAAAGTAAGTAAGAAATGATCTGTGTGGAATAAATTAGTATAGAAATGTTCGCTTTGGTAAAGACCTATATTTTACTGGTCCGGAAAGCTAGGATATACATATAAAGAAAAAGTATAGAAAAGGTTGGTGTGAAATTACTAGTTTTTAATTAACTAGGGCTATTGCTCTCGACATATCTAAAGCTTTCGACAAAGTTTGGCATGCTGGTCTTCTCCATAAGCTTGCTTCATATGGTGTTTCTGGGAAAGTTTTTGAGATTATCAAATCATTTCTTTCTAACCGGTTTATTAAAGTCATCCTTGAAGGCCAACACTCTTCTTTATTTCCAGTAACTTCTGGGGTTCCCCAAGGTTCCATCCTGGGCCCTGTTTTGTTTCTTATCTACATAAACGATCTTCCTGACAACCTTTCATCTAAAGTAGCTCTTTTTGCTGATGACTCAACTTTATACTCCTGTCTTGACAAAAAGTCTTCTCTTTTCGATCGCCTAGAACAAGCAGCTGATCTTGAATCTGATCTCACTTCAGTAATAGATTGGGGTTCACAGTGGCTTGTGAATTTCAACTCTAAAAAAACCAATTGCTTACTGCAAACAACTACCGTAATATGTTCAACATTCCTATATTAATGAATGGCAATCCTCTTACTGAGTCGCCCTCTTTATGTCTTCTTGGATTATCGCTTACTACTGACCTTTCATGGAAACCATATATACAATCGATTGCTAAATTAGCTTCTGCTAAGGTTGCTTCTCTTTATCGTGCTCGCCATTTCCTTACTTCTGATTCCATTCTCTACCTCTACAAATCTCTTATTCGTCCCTGTATGGAATACTGTTGTCATATTTGGGCTGGTTCTTCTAACGATTCACTTTCTCTTCTTGACAAGGTCCAAAAACGCATTGTAAATGTTGTTGGACCTGGACTATCTGCTAAGCTTGAACCTCTTTCCCATCGTCGTAAAGTTGCATCTCTTTCTCTTTTCTACAGATACTATCATGGTCACTGCTCAAAGGAGTTATCATCTCTAGTTCCATCAACTAAAATTCATTCTCGTTTTACTCGTCATTCAGCTAAGTCTCATTCGTTTACTGTATCTGTCCTTTGGAACTCTCTCCCATCTTCATGTTTTCCTGACTCATACAACCTTCAACTTTTCAAGTCTTCTGTCAACCGTTTCCTTGCTCTATAACTCTGTTCTTTTTTTTTCCTAGTAACTCCCAACTTAATAGTGGTTGCTTGCAGCCTTGTTGGGAGTGAATGCAAACAAAAAAAAAAAAAAAAAAAAATAGACTTGCAAAGACCTGTTTTTACAGGTCCGGTCAGGTTAAACTTTTTATACCGATAGTCATGTTTTAAGCAGGTATTTTGACAAGTACTAATAACCAATCAGCGATTTACGAAACGGTTACCATAACATTTAAAGATTATTAAGTTAATTATAATAGAAATTTTCATTTTTCATAGCTTTAAGATGGAAACAATAAGTATAGTTTTTCTATATGTATATAGCTATTTTTCTACAGCTCACTACAAAATATTTTCTTTACTTATTCCTTACTTCATAAGGAATAAGTAAAGAAAAGGCCGATGTGAAATAAATTTATCAAGACCTGTATTTTACAGGTGATGACAGCTACTACTGTAATAAAACCAGATAAATTTAAGCCAAATGAAAGGTTTTTTTGGGTGATATAACCATGATATAAGTCGTGATATAAAAACTATATATGAACCGGGAAAAAATATTGTTATAGATTCTAACAATATTTTATATATAGATAATATATTTGATTAAGTTATCTCTCCTTTTCTTGATTAATCATTATTTTCTCTTTCAACAATTACTACACCATATAAATACTAAAGTTTATAAAAATATGTAAAGATATTGTATACTAGCATCTAAATAAATAGCAAACATCTATGTTTATATTCAAATTATGTATAAATGTGACTCTTACTCAGTTGGTTAAAGCATCAAACAAAAAAATAAAATTCGGACTGTTGTACAATATAGGTTCAAATCCTGCCACCGCCAACTCAGTGTTTGAGTAGTACTTCTGTACGCAAAAATGTTGGTCAATAACATACGCTACTTTGGATTAGTCTTAATGACTATTTGTGGCTGTTCCTATGCTAAGCCAGCAATATTTTAGGATATACCATTGTATAGAAAAATATAGCATGAAAATTCAAACAAAATTAAAAAAAAAAAAAAATTTTAATTTAATTTCATTCTGTAAAAGTTTTAACATTATTAAATTCTTTCTAACTGCAGTATTAAAGTCGTTCTCTTCTTCATTTCCAGTCTACTGAAAGGTTCATTTCTCCTGTTTCTTATTTACAATGATGATCTTCCTGACAATCTTACATCTAAAGTTGCTCTATTTGTTGACAATGCAAGTTTTCTTGTTTTGAGAAAAAGTCTTCACTTTTAGATGAACAAGCAGCTGATCTTTAATCTGATCTCTCCTGTGTGTCGCTTAGTTGTGGTTGGTTGTGGGTTGTGGGTTGTTGGGTTGTGGATTTTAACTCTAACAAACCTAGTTTTTTACTGCTTAGAATTATTACAATATTGTAAACATAATATTGTTATAACAACCTTCTCACTTTCAGACAAAGTCTAAAAAGACAAACAACAAATGTAGTTGGACCTGCTTTATCTGCTAAGTTTGTGTGACTCTCCCATCGTTGTAAGATTACACCTCTTTATTTTTTCAACATAAACTATCATGGTCTCATTACAAATGAGCTATCAGCTCTAGTTTGATTAACTTAGATAATTAAAAAATTTTATATTATGGAGAGACATATACAGTAAAACTTTGTTGCATCCTTTTACTTTATGTCTCTCCATGAAATAAAAATTATTCATGTCTTCAGTTAACTTTTTTCTTTCTCTTTAACCATATCTTTTGTTTTCTAGTAACTCATAACTTAATAATGGTTGCTTGCATCCTTGTCAGAAGTGTATGAGTTTAATATATATATATATATATATATATATATATATATATATATATATATATATATATATCTGTGTGTGTGCCGGTATTTAATATTTAATAAATAGTATACAAATATACACATAAATTTATGGTATATAAAGTCCTAACTGCCAAAAATTGTTTTTTTTTAGAAAAAAAATTGTGATCATTGACAACAAGTCAAATTTCCTTTATGAAACACTGAGCTTTCTGGCAACACAGGATATTATATTTCTGATTTTGATGCAACACCTAATGAGTTCAAACTCAAAAGGAAGTAATGAGTTCAAACTCATGAGCCAAAATTTATAATTTATGTATTACTATTAGCCTTGTCTGAGAAATAAGTCTTAAAGCATTAAATTACTCATTTGGGCAAAAAAGCCAACAAAGATTTGTACTTTTTTAAATGTCTGGTTAAATTAAAAAAGTTCATCAACGAGGTTCATAAAAAAAACAAAATTATTTTTTGGCCTATTCTAGTTGTCGTACATTATTCAAACAAAGCGCATGTTTACCTAAAAGGTAAAAATAATGAATGTACCAAAATAAAACCCTGCGAATGTGCCTGAATTTGCATCCGATCAAGGATTTTTGAACTGATATCAAAAGATTGGTGCATACAGACAATTAAGCTGAACATTTTGAAACATTTTTAATTTTTAAACTTTTATCTACTATGAGTAATTTGCTCTTTTACCTGTTCAAAAACCTGTTCAAAAAAATAGTGCATTAGTTCTGCAGAAATATTGTAATCTGTGTCCTGCAGGTGGTTTTTGGACCAAACACACTTGCATGCAACAATTCTATATGACATAACTCTTTAACATGAAAATTCTATATGACATAACAATTCTATATAACAAAACTGTTTAACTTAAAAAAATTTTATGACAATTTTTACCAATATCTAAAATATATAATAGCCATTATATAATCAAAAAATATGAAAAAAAAATTTAATATAAATAGTTAATATGAAAAAATAGTTTAATATAAATATTTAATATGAAAAGCAGTTTAATATAAATAGTTAACATGAAAAGTAGTTTAATATAGTTTAATATTGTAGATTTATCAAATGATTCAAATATCTAATAAATCAGATTTAGAATTTTTAAAAGTTTTTTATAAAACTTTTAAAAACTCTTTTAATCTTTAAAATATCTAAATTTATTTTAATTATTTTTTTTATTTATTTTACTAATTATTTATTTTATATATTAGTCACAATAGAAACTTATGATAAAATATAAAAATATTACAATTAAAAAATAATACTTGTTCTGATGGAATAGCTGAAGATTGATTGCAGCTAACAAGAGCTCCGATTTGACTAGCAAATGGTCTTGAATGAAAATACTCTGTTGATTCTTCTTTTGAAATTTTTTCCACTCTTCCAGTGATACGAATCTTTATTCAAAAAGATTAAAAACTTTATTTAAAACATATATAGCCATTAATTTACATAATATACAGTGTAGTAATAAGGCACTATTTTAATAGTAATAAGGCACTGGTTTAAAAAAGGTATGCAGTTCAAACCCACTATTCACACCATGCACCATGTAATATGTTCAATTCAATTCTGTGTGCAGCAGCCTTTTTTTTAAAGGATTATCTTTTGTATGTATGATGTGGTTATGTTTTGATGATGATACTAAAGATGTATGATGTGGTTATGTATTGATGATGATACTAAAGATGTATGATTATAATATATATATATATATATATATATATATATATATATATATATATATATATATATATCATATATATCATATATATCATATATATATATATATATATATATATATATATATATATATATATATATATATATATATATATATATATATATATATATATATATATATATATATATATATATATATATATATATATATATATATACATTATAGGGTGTTATATGTATAAATATATGTATATATATTAGGGTGGTTTAAAAAACAACATTTTTGAAAAATATCAGCAGCTAGCACCATAATGAGTTCTATATGATAATTAACACTGGATTTAAAAGTTTTTGAATAAAAAATATTTTTATGGGTGCCTCAAGACCCTCAAACATTTAATGGGTCACTAATAATATTAAAATTTTTTTATTTTTTTCGAAAGTAAGCCTTGTTGGGTCTCAAATGAAACGAAGTTATATAAAAATTTTAAAATAATCATCTTTTTTTAAAAAAATATTATTTTCCATTTTACTGCCTAAAATAAAATAAAAAAATTGTGTTTTTACAAAGTTTTTTAGTTTTTTTTTTATCAATGTTTTTTTTTTTTTAAATAAGTATTTTTTTTTTTAATTTTTTAAATAATTTTGCTTCTTTTGAGATCCAACAAGACTTACTCTAAAAAGACTTTATTTTATTAATATAAAAGACCCATTAAATATTCAAGGGTCTTGAGGTACCACTAATAATATTTTTTATTCAAAAAAACTTATAAATACAGTGTTATTTTATCATATAGAACACATTAAGGTGTGAGCAATACCAGATATATTTGTATATTGGAATTAGTTCTCATTAGCATTTACAAATTTACAGCGGTTTTTTAATGACAATAATTTTAAGGCCCAATTGTGGCTTGTTATCCAATAAAAATATAAGCAAAAATTTGAAAAAGAAGAGCTTATTTATAAAAGATTAAAACACCATATTTCTTTGTTATGATAAAAAAATTGTGGTGTTGTACAAGAAAACTTAATCTTTATCTTCATCATTCCCGCTTCTACCACACTGGCCATAATACTATAATTTTTAATAAAAACTAAAAACATTTGTTAATTATAGTTTAAATAACGATAAATAAAATAAAATTTATTTGGTAAAATAACAATAACATCATTATAACAACATCACTATAACAACATTATGATAACATAACAATAACAAATTAACAATAACAACATCACTATAACAACATTTCTATAACAACATCACTATAACAACATCACTATAAAAACATAACAATAACAACATCATTTTAACAACATCACGATAGTATAAGAATAAGAACATTATTATAACAATACCACTATAATAACATCATAATAACCTAACAATAACAACATAACAATAACATTAATATAAAAAAATTAACTATAACAACATCACTATAAAAATACCTGCTTTTGTAATGGTTCCCAATAAAATGTCAATGCCGCATTTGGATTTTCATTCTAAATATGAAAAATTTATATATTTTAATTAATATATTAACAATATAATTATTATTATTTGAATAACTATTGACAGACGACTTGAAAGATTGCAAATTACATGAATCAGGAAAACAAGATAAAGGAAGTAAATTCCAAAGAACTGATGTTTGAGGAAAAAACTAGACAAATAAGAATTTTTTGGAGCAGTTAGGAACAGTCACAGTAAAAGGATGAGACTGACAAGTAACACAAAAATGAACTTTAGTCAATGGCACAAGAGACGCTAGCTCTTTAGAGCAGTGCTCATTATAGTATTTATAGAAAAAAGAAAAAGAAGCAACATTACCACAATGTGAAATGGTTGAATGTTGGCTGTGAGAGCAGGTCTAACTATGTTTAGAATGCGTTTTTGTACCTTGTCTAAAAAAGAAAGGGCATCATTCAAAAATCCACTTCAGACATGGTAACAGTATTCTATACAAGCAGAGATTTGAGATTTATAGAGACAAAGAATAGAATCCTGAATAAGAAAGTGGCAAGCATGATAAAGAGATACAACCTTAGCAGATGCTAATTTTGCAATTGATTTGATATATGTTGATAAGTTGGGGTTAATCCTATAAGATGAAGGGAAGATGACTCATTGAGTCCATTACCATTCATAAATATAGAAAGATCTAGACTATTGTGATAACGATTCAGTGTGATGAGCATTGAAGTCACAAACAAAAAAGATATTGGCTGATGAATAAAGAGAGAGGGCTTGGTCAATTCGATCAGAAATAACATCAAAAGGAGTGCAGTCTTGAGATGAAGGAGAGATGAACCATCAACACTAAGACCACAAGACGAGACAACTGAACTCAAACTAGTCTCATAAAGAACAAGTAGGTCTGATGAACTTTGCAAAAGATAAGACTAAACAGAAGAAAATTTACTTTGAAGACCAAAATATTAATAAATGGTAGATTAGTAGATAGATTTAAAGAACTTGGTAATGACTATGGTTTTTTGTGTTTTATAATTTTTAATACTTTAGTCATTTTTTGAATTGGTTAAAGAACTTGACTCGAAGCACAGGTTGTACTCAGTACACTATCTTATAGTCCAAGCAATTGCCTGATTACTACTAATAAATGTTAGACTAGACAATCCACACTAAAAGTATGAACAGGGACACTATCTATGCGCAACATGACACTGTTATTATTCTGATATTTCACAGCTGTTGATGGATATATATATATATATATATATATATATATATACACAAATATATATATATATATATGTATATACAAAAATATAAATATATATATATATATATATATATATATATATATATATATATATATATATATATATATATATATATCAGGGATGTGAAGTCCCAAAAAAAGGACTGCTTATGAAAGCTAAAGCTCTTTATGGTACTTTACATCCCTGATATAAATACCTTAATATATAAATTATAAATTAATAAAAATAATAGAAAATAACTGAAAAGTTCTTACAAGTTCTTTTCCTTTTTGGCTGTCATAATTGGTAAAAAAACGAAAACCTTTATTTGAATATCCTTTCAAAAGAACCCATCGCGCTGAAGGAACACCATCTCTTAAACATAAACTAATTATAAAACTCAAAAACTAACCAAGTATTTAACAATATATAACAATAATTTCTCTGTTAAAAGCTAAAGTAGACTACATTTACGAACTTAATATAAAGAAGACTTTATTTGTGACCTTCATACAAAATAGACCTTATTATAGACCACAGCACTAAATTATGACCAATTTTTGAATAGAATTAAAATATTAAGTAAAAAATAAAGAATATTAGTAGTTATGAAATTATTTTGACAATCGCATGAAATTTTATTTAAAATTAAATACTTTTTTAAAAGTTTTAAAAAAATTTTTAACAACGGAATTATTATTCATTCAATACTTGTAAAACAGTATTCAATATTTATAAAAACTTTTTTCAAAACATAGTAACTTAGAAATACAAATTAAAAAAATAACAAAAAAATTTTAATCAATGTAAATCAATCCGTTTTAAACATACAGTAATGGTGTCGAAATTGTAAAAGGTTATTTACCAAAAATAATTTAATCATTTTTAAGATAACAAATCAGGGAAAGAAAAACTTAACTGCAACCATATATCTTGAGTGATTCCCCTGGACAAAAGCCTATTATCAAACAAACCATTAACAAAAACTTGTTAATTTAAAAGTGTTTTCCAACTCTTAAAAAAAAAAATTATGTACTAAGTAAGAAAACTTTGTACTGGAATACTATTATTTATATGTTCATTTTAATTTTACCTTATTTTATGATAAAAACAATCATGTTATTATTAATTTTTTTATAATGTATGATCATTTATGAAGTAAATTTTACTTTGAGGCAGTTGCTAAGTTCATTGCATTTGCTTCTTTTATACCAGGGTTATTAGCAGCTTCCTGAAACCATAACTGAAATAGCAAATAAGGATCTTTGGCTGGAAGCATATCATCTGGTAATCTACTTAAATTGTAATCAATTCGCATGTCAGAAATCTTAAAATAAAAAAAATTAGTATTTTAAAACTTTAAATTATAATTATTTGTTTAAGTTGTTAACTTTACATTAAATGCTTAAAATAAAATTCAAAAGAAATATATATATATATATATATATATATATATATATATATATATATATATATATATATATATATATATATATATTATTGTTAAATTCACCTCCTAAAGCTCAAGAGGGAGCTACAGTCAATTAGATTAATCAGCTTTCTTTTATTTAATTTTATTTGTAACTCTCTTTCAATCTTTTCAAATTTCAATTCGAAAACACAAATTTTAAACAACGCCACTGTGCAGAAAAACAGATTGATACAAAGTCAGGTTTAATATTTATTAATATAATTTTCCATTTTGGCAAAGTTAAAATTATTTCACAAAGTCATACACTAGCCTAGTTTTAGTGTTTAAAAAAATGTTGAAAACATTTTTATTTTATTTATTTTTATTTATTACAATTAAATTTTTTTATTATTATTATAATAAAATATTTTTTTAAGATTTCTAACATTACCTGATTCACTCCCAACAAAGATGAACTTTGCAATTGATTGTATATATGGTTTCCATGGAGTTAAAATTTACTACTGCAAGCACTTAAGCGGTAGTGGTATCATGGGGGAGTGCTCGCCTCAGTGGTGTCATGGGAGAGTGCTCGCCTCAGTGGTGTCATGGGAAAGTGCTTGCCTCAGTGGTGTCATGGGAGAGTGCTCGCCTCAAAAGCGCAAAGTCCTGAGTTTAATCTTTACCATTTCTCTGGTAGTACCACGCTCAACTCGTTTCTTTGCACAGCGGCCTTCTTCAGCAACCTTGTTTGTCAAGATTCCTGTTTTGGAGTTATAGAGTTGAGAAATAGTTGAAACCACAACTAAAATAGTCTCCTTGACTGTAATGGCTAATGGCTAAGTAATTTCATGCTTAGACTCTTCTGCACCTTGTTGTCCAGACAACATACCTGTTATAGTCTTGCAGAAGCGTTCTCCGGAGCTGTCATCTATACTTTCAAAACTATTTAACAAGTGCTTATCTAAGTCTTGTTTTGTAGCCAGCTGGAAAGCAGCATCTGTTATCCCTATTTTCAAACATTCTGGAGAGCAATCTGGTTTGTCTCACTACTGCCCCATTAGTCTTCTTCCTATCATAAGCAAGGTTTTTGAGACTTATAAATAAACACTTAATCTTGAATCTTGAATCTAATAACTTTCTGATCGTCATTATGAACTTCGATCTTCTTGTTCTAATGCTGATTTATTAACAGTAATAACTGATAGATTTTATTGTGCATTAGATAGATTTGGAGAGGCTAAGGCTATCGCTCTTGATATTTCTAAAGTTTTTGATAAAGTTTGGCATGCTTTCTTCTCCATAAGCTTTTTTCTTACTATGTATCAGTTAATATCTTTAAGAATATTGAATCCTTTTTTACCACTTGTAATATAAAAGTTGTCTTCGATGGGCAGCATTCTTCTTCTTATCCTGTAGCTTCAGGAGTTTATCAAGGTTATATCCTTGACCCTATATTCTATTTAATTTACATTACGATCTTCCAGAAATTCTCACATCTCATCAAGGTGCCATTATTTTCTGATGATACTATCATTTATTTTTGTCTATATAGGAAGCCAACACTCTCTGATTGCTTAGAGGGGGCATTTGAGCTTGAAAGGGATTTCACTCCTGCTACAGCATGGGGCTGTCAATGGCTGGTGAACTTTAACTCAGATAAACTCAATTTTTTTTAGCTAATTATTATCACAATAATCTAGATTTTCCTATATTTATGAATGGTAACGTACTCAATGAGTCCCTTAATATTCTAGAACTAACTCTTACTTCCAATCTTTCTTGGAAACAATCAATTGCAAAATTAGTATTTGCTAAGGTTGCATCTCTTTATTGTGCTCACCACTTTCTCCTCTTTATCTTTATAAGTCTCAAATCCACCCTTGTATGAAATACTGCTGCTGCAGCTGGGCTCATCTTTGAACAATGCCTTTTCTCTTTAAGACAAGGTGAAAAAACAAATTGTAAAGATTGTTGGACCTGCTTTTGCAGCAAACCTTCAACCATTATCACATTGTTGCAATATTGCTTCATTTTCTCATTTCTATAAATACTATATTGGGCACTGCTCTAAAAAGCTAGCATCTCTTGTGCCATTTACAAAAATTCATTCTCGTGTTACTCGTCATTCAATCTCATGTAACTCGTCATTCAAAAAGTCTCATCCTTTTACTGTGAGCCAGCAAGATCAGCAGTGTTAGAGCCAAGCAATTCAGTGTGATGAGCAATTAAGTTACTAATAACAAAAATATAAGCAGAAGGTTAAAGAGAAAGGGCTTGGTTAATTTGAACAGAAATTACATCTAAAAGAGTACAGTTTTGAGAGAAAAAATAACATTTAAAAGAGTGCAGTTTTGAAAGGAGGAGAAGGAGAACTATAAAGAAGAAAGAGAAAGAGGTTTAGTAAACTGAGAATATTGGAGCTTAGTATCAGAAACATCTTTTTCTTGCAATAATAGTTTTTAGATTGATTTCTTGCAATAATAAAAGAAAGTTTGTTCTCAAGAGAGTTCTTGTTTTCTCTTGTAGTAAAGATTAAAAAAATATATTACAATCAGAAATAGCAGCTGCACTAGGTGACAACTATGGAGTAGTTATAATAACTATGGGGTAGTTATGATAACTATGGAGTAGTTATGACAACTATGGAGTAACTATGGAGTAGTTATAACAACTATGGAGTAGAATGAGACTTGATTTAAAAAGACAAGAAGAAATAAAAGCTTTTGTGCCTTTCTGGATCCAGGGGATTATGTAGGAGGCACATCTTTTAGCAGAGAGACAAAAGATATCAGCCCAAAGAAAATCACATAGAAAATAAGGAAATAAATAGTCAATTTTAAGTAATTAACTAAGACTGCACAACTTTAAGTAGTAACTACTAATACTTTTATATTTTACTTCACTTCATGAAGGCAACCATGAAGCGAAGTACAATTTAAAGAGACCATAGCATGATCTACCACATATAGGAGAGCAAGCAAAAACTGAACACAAGCAAGAGTCAGAGACAAGACACAAATAGATGAATTGATGCATAAGTATATATCCAAGCCAAGCATGTGACTAATGGAGTCTTTGCGAATCAAAGAATAGTACTCATCAATACTGAGATCGGAACAAGAACCAAATACAAATTAGTTTCTTAAAGAGCAAGTAAGTCTAACAAACTTTGCAAGAGGTAAAGATATTTGTAAAAGATATATTGAAACAGTTAGGTGGTGATTATGATGGTTTTTTAGGTTTAATATTTTTAGGTCAATTATAAATTTTTTAGGTTTATTTTATTTAGGTTTTTTTAAGGTTCATTTATAAATTGAGCATGGCATCCCAAGCATTGCAGTGTTTTCGGTCCTGCTAATTAACCCCAGTCATAACTTAGGGCTTCTTACATGGCTTCAACAAGGCACACCAAAAGCCCTAACAGGGATACTATTCATGCACAACATTGTACAGTTAATACTCTGATACTTTACAGCTTGGACTAAACTACCACAGAGTTTGGGAAACCTTACTACCAGCCGGCCTCAGAATCATTAAACTGAGTTTCTGAGCTATAACCTCATTAAGAGATTGCAGGAAGAGTTGCATAGCCACTATCATAAAAGAGACAAGCAAGATCCAGCATTCATCATCCTAAGCAGGAAACAGTGTAACACAAGTTATTAATATAACAATAAATATATAACAATAGTAATAATAATAAAATTTAAACACCTTTTCAGGATCTATTTGAGACATTTTGAAATAGCGACACAACTTTATATGGTTAAAAATCTTCAATAAATGCCTGGAATAAACATTATTTAAACTTATTATTTAGAACATTTTTCATACATATTTTAAAAAACATTACAAATCAACATAATCATCATCCTAATATATCAAACAAATCAGCATAATCATCATCCTAATATATCAAACACTTTTGTATGTTAATGTTATCTGCATTTTTAATTGCAGAAATCTCCTTAACCTTCTATTAATCAAAGAAAAGGCTTGAAATTCATTATCTCTATATAGTATATATCCTATATATTATTTTTCATTATTATATATTGTTATTATTACTTTGATACATGTAATTGCTTATATATAGCAGATCATATCGAACAAAAATACACTAGCTTTATTATTATTATTATATATCATTATTTTAATTTTTTTTAAATATGATTAGTAATAAATATAAAAAAATAATAATTATAAAGAATAAAAAAAAACTCAAATCTTTTTATCAAAACTAATTTAATCCTAACTAAATTTTTTTGTTACTTGTAGTCTAACATTGTAAGTAAAAAAAATAATAATAATAAGGCACTGGTAATAATTGATTGTGAGTAATTTTTTTTATCTTTATACAGAATGTGTGAAACAAAAAAAAATTAGAAAAGATCAAAATTATTAGAAATGTTTATTCTAAGAAATAACTATAACTTTTTGTTATAACTTTTTTTCAAAATGGGAACTTATGGTTGTCTAACTGCAAACATAGTAAAAATAATCTTTTTAAAAAAAGAAAGTCATAGAAGATACTATAAATAAAAAAAAAGTGTTCTCCATCAAGGACAACTTGAATACTGCAATTTGAAATGAATCAATAATTTTGAAAACTTTCATCTGATTTTTTTTTAAGAAAACCTGAGACACCTCCAAAAGCTGAAAAATGAAAAAAGCTTTTGGAGAAGATCAACTTATGGTTTAGTACCATACTCGATATCGATACTCCATACTCGATATCGATACTCCATACTCGATATCGATTATCGATACATAGATAAGATCAGCAAACCAGATTTATGGAGAAGATCAGCACACCAGATTTTTTTTTTTTTTTTAGAGCAATGGCTAGAAATGCAAGTCATTATTTGATTTTTTTAGTTTTTGGACAAGAAAACCAAGGACTTTGTTTAATGTTTGTTTTTTTTAAATAAATAATTTTCTGATTTTAAACACTAAAATAATTATAAATTTATTTTTAGAAGATGGTTATTTAAGAACAATTTTTATTCTTATATTTAGCATATCATTTTATAATTTTATTGTTTCTTAAAAAGTTCTATGTTCATCAAACTTCAGTAGTTGTTCTCAATTATTAATTTCTTACTAATTTATTTCTTGCATCTTTTTCACAAAAACAATATCTGAAGAACAAACATCATTTTGATGCTTTTCTAAAAATTTTATAAAAACTAATAAATGTCCATTCTTATGTACTAAGCACATGAGAGTAATTCAAAATGGATGCAAAGAATTATTCAAAATTATTGAATCATTCCTTTCTACCCACATTATAATGTTGTCTTTAACAGATATTGTAAGTAACTTAAGGGGTTCTACAAGGTTTCATCTTTGATCCTGTGTTGTTCCTCATCTATTTCAACTTCTTAATATTCTTACCTCTGAAGTGGTTGATGACATAACTATATACTTCTTAATACCAATGACATATTGCTGATGATATAACTATATAAACCCCCCTCAATTTGAGAGTGTTGCAAACTTTATATGGTCATAATTTTTGAGCACCAAAACATTTTACTATGAAATTTAAAACTTCTTGATGAATATAAGTCTAGTTGGAAACAGTACAAAAAATATTTCATCAACTTGTTGCTTTCATGTTTGGGCCAGAGAGGGTTAGGCTTTTCAGAGTTTTAAAAATAGAAACAGGTGAAAATTTTCAATCAATGAAAAATTACTAGATGTCATTCTTTAACAAAAAAGAGCATGCTAGATTATCAGACCATCAATTATACTAAACTTGAAACACAGAAGCAAAAGTAAAAAAATATGAACTTTATGCTTTTGACAAAAAGAGACAAAAACTGATTTAATCAAGAAAATAGCACACCCTCCTATGTAAAAAATGCATGTATGAAACCAAGTTTCAGCAAAGAACTTGTTCAAAACTACAGACAGTGATAAAAAAACTCTTTTCCAAGATTGTGACAGGAGTTGGAACCTTTTTCAAGGTTGAGTTTATTTTCAAGTAAAAGAGTTTATATGAGAAATAACTTTAGCGTTAGAAAACCTAACGCTAAAGATTGATTAGAATATCTTACAAAAGATTTTGCTTGTAGGGTCTAGGAAGACTGTTTTAGATTTTAGTATCATTAGATTCAAGATAAAAGATTAAATTTTTACAAACAAAAAATGGTTTTTGAAAATAATTCTGCCATATCTTTTAGGTTAAACACAAAAACATTTATAACGGTTAAGTGTTTAAGCATATAAATATATATTTTTTTTAAACATCAGTTTAACCTTAGTATTTTTCTATAATTTAAGAAATACCTTTAGTCTCAGTATTTCCCCAAAAAATGGGTAAATAACTTTAGTCTTAGTATTTTCCATAAATAAGATAACTCTAAGGCTCAAAAGAAATTTGGAGACCTTTTTAAGTTTTGTCATTGTTAAGGTGACACATTTCTTATAACTAGAAAGGAAGATGCAAATGTCATAACTATGAAAACCTTTTTATTTCTGTAAAAAAAATCACATTTAACAAAAAAATATAGCCAAATAAAAATAAATCACAAAAAACAAAATCGATAGTTTGAATCACTTAATTTATTGAATCTGAATCTATTAAATCTATCAAACACAAATTTATAAATATTTATAGATGCAATAAATAATCTAAATAGAAAATAATTAGAAAGATGAACAAAAATTTTAAACATTTTGGTAGATAAAGAGTAGAACAGTCAAGTGAGGAACGAATTTTAAAAAGAGGAGTGCCCTGTTAAAAAAAGAACAGTTTTTTTTTTTTTTTTTCATTATTATTGTTACTACTAGCTAACTAATAATTTTTGAAGTGAAGTACAAAGTAACTTTTTAGAACCAAATATAAGATTTTTAAAAACAAAAAAGCACCTTTTACTCATTATACATTGCTTTAAAATTGCTTTATTGCTTTAAAAAGTAATTTAATTACAACATAAAAGTACTTTAGCGGGCTTTTAGAATTCTACCTTTTTTTATAAAATAATTAATATTATTAATAATTTATATAAAAATAATTAAAAGTAATATCAATTATTGGTATTACTTTAATTGTTCATAAAATATACGGAAAATTACAGTTATTACAAGCGCTTTCGTTTTTTATAAATCATTTTTTCAAGTTAAGGATTAGGAGTCAACATGGATACAATAAAATTAAAAAAACTATTTGATTTTTTTTTTTTTTTTAATGTTTTTTTTTAAGAGAATTTTTTTTATATTATACAAATTTATAAAAGTGAGTTAAAATATTTCAAAACTTAAAAAAAAAAAACTGATTTTCATGACGAGATATTAAGAAAATTTGATTAAAAAATAAACTTACAAAAAAAAAATATTTTCAATTTTTTTTAAATAAATTTGAGTCGCTTCATGGTCAGAGGCAGGTCTGCGGCAAAAAACATTTAACCAATTTTGTATTTTTCGGTTAACAATTGACTAACCCGAAAACTTACAACTACAACTGTACAACTGTAGAAGCTTTTTATTGGTTACACGTGTTGTTTTGAGTTAGAAGTGCTTTTTTCCAAACTTTGCAGCTCTTTTTGCACCTCTTGATGCACCCTCCGCACCATCCGCACCCCTTAGTGACGCCACTGTTAATAGTATAATTATTTCAGTGGCATATCAAAATGTGTTGAAAAAGCAAAATTTTGAAATCTAGTTTGTAGCCTTTGAAAGCTGTAATCGAAATGAATTATTCTCCTAAAAGTTGAATGTTGAACAACTGTTCGAACTATCAAGAAGTAATCTCAACAAGAACCACGATCTGCATAAAGTAATCGATTTTTGAATAACCTCTATATTAGGTATAAATATGAAAGTTTTAAACAACCTCTACTACTTGTTTGAACCTTATCTTTTGCTTTCTTGTTAAGCTGCAGGTTTTTTATTTTCTTATAGAACAAAATTTTCGGCAAGGAACTTATATTTTCGCTGGATTTAATAACAAATAGATATATCTTAAATAATGAGCAGGGTTTCGAAGTGGGTGGGGGGTGACAACTGCTAATTTTTTAAAAAAGTTTTCGATATCTAGAATTTTCTTATAATAATAATAAAAAAAGGCCCTTTTAAAAAAAAGTGGGGGAAGGAGGAAGACACGTGCTCACCCGGCTTCCCCGGTACCGTCGGCCCTGTAGAGATATAAAATACCTTTTTGTAAATAATAACCATAAATTCTTATCCAGACTAGGGTTTTTATTTTTCATATCCTCAAAGGGTGTTTAAAAAAATAATGGTATCCTAGTTTATTCATAATCATTGTTTAAATTAAATTTGGCGCTAATACGCAAAAAAAAAAATGTTTTTTTGTTTTGCTTAAATTATGCGAAATCTTTTTTATAATTCAAACGACAATTATATAAAAACCTGGATACACAACAATCTTAGGGATCGTCCATAAATTACGCAATGCAAAAAGTATTTTAAGAACAGGAGATAATAAACTCTTTTACGCGGCAATTTTCATTTAACTTAATTTCCTATTTATATTATTTATTTAAATTAAGACTCTGCGAGGGAAAACCTTTGATCTCTTTTTGATTTGTTTATTGTGAAATTTTGCGTTACGTAATTTATTGACGATCCCTTAAAAAAATTTGGACCATTAGGGGTCGTCCATAAAGTATGTACGCTTTTTTTTTGCCAACCCCTTTCCCCCCACCCACCCACCAATTTGCCGTACGCTTTTTTGAGTACACTCTACCTCCCTAAAAGTACTTACGTTTTTAATCTACTAAACCAACATTTTTTGAAATTTTTTTTTAATTTAGTGTCTCCATATGTTTATAATTGACCTACTGCCCCCTTATCTCACAAACGCCATTTGCAGACCTCCTCTTCCTCTCCGAGTGTACGTACTTTATGGACTTTATGGATTTACCTTGTGTTTAAAGTCAAATAATTTAGGAGCAATTTAGGGGCTGTCTATTAATTACGTCAACAATTTTTCGGCAATTTTTACCTCCTCCCTCCCCTTTGTCAACAACTTGTCAAACTTTCAGTGACCTCCCTAAAAAATTACGTCAACATTGGATACCCCCCTCCCCCTAAAAAAAAATAAGATTGAAAAAAAATGTTTTAAATTGATAAGTTTAGAAAAACAAACAATGTAAACTTTTAACTTTAAAACATAATTCCAGTTTAAAAATACAAAGAACTCTTAAGAAAAAAAAGATTAAAGGGTTCACAAAAATGTCTTATTTAAATTATAATCTATTTCAAATTAATAAAATTCTCCTCACTTGAACATTAGACCTAATACAAATTTACAGTGAAAGCCAATTATTTTTGATCGAGTCTAGAATAAAAAAAAAAGCATTTATCAAATTGTATAAACCAGGGATTGGCAATCTTTTGAGACGGAAGAGCTTAAAGTTACAATATACAAAGTTTTTCATTTTTTAGAGAGCTGCCAACATCTTTATTTTAATATTATATTTAGGGATGCGGAGTCCCGAAAAGGACTCCGGATTTGAATATCACAAAAAGATTACTTCTTCCAATTTTTTGTTATTCAGGAGCTCTAATAATATAAAAACGCTTGTGGATTACTATTGGTAAGACTTTTAGTTAGAGGAACAATCTGATTTTAAACCCGGAGTCCTAGGTACAATGGCAGCTAGGACTCTGGGACTCAGAGCTTAAAAATAATATGTTTCAAGTCATTAAATTTCATGAGTTTTTTAATTTAGCAAATCTTAAATCAACCAACATATTCAGATCTTTTGGACACAAGAGGCCAGTAAAAAACAGAGATATAAAACCGGAGTCCTTTTGGGACACCGCATCCCTGATTATACTAACATTTGTGCATGTCAAGATAATAATATTTCGATGTCAAGATGCAGCTAAAGAGCTTTAATTGACATCTAAAAAAATCACAAGAGGCTTGCGAGCTGCAGGTTGTACGCCTTGTATAAACGTTTAAACAATGTAATGTAGACAATGTACTTACATGAATCTTTTTTGAATGCACAGCAGACCGAGAAAGCAATATCTTTGAAAAAACTAATAGCGTTACGAGTCTTGTGCGTAGTTATTTAGTTCTGTCGGGTCACTTTAAAGCACAAAACGGTTTTTAAAAAGTAGGATTTTAAATTATTTGAAATTAAAATATTTGAGCAGCCGTGGCGCAGTGGTTAGAGTTCTGGCTCAGAACCCAGAAGTCCGAGGTTCGACGCCAGCTCTAGCCCAACAAGTGACATTGGTACGGAAAGGAGGCGTGAACTTCCTGTTAAATGCTCTCCCGCGGTGCTCTATGATAAGACCGTAAGGACTTCTGGGAGCACCTAAATACACCCAAAAAAAAAAAAAAATTATAGGATAGGAATTAAAATACTGAAGGTTGAGCGACTATGTAACACAGGACTATAAACGCTGCCTGATATTCCTTTTTTTAAATAGTTAAATTTATAAAAAAAGTAACATGTTCAAAAACAAATAAAGTGTTGACGTCAACTTTTCTTAACCTCCCCCCCTCCCCTTGTCAACAATTGTCAAAAAAATTCAAAAAATTTAATGGACAGTCCTTTAGGGCATTTTTAAAGATTGCCGCTTGAGCACAAGGTAAATGTTAATATTTTTGGAATCATACTTTTTTTATATTTGCTCCAAATTTGGCTTCTTGTGTATTCGCGTTTTTTTTATAAAAACTATATTTTATTGAACACCCCTAATTCAGACATTTATTAGTTTAATTTTAATTCAGCAATTTATTATTACTCGTTCAAATAGCACAACATAAAAAAGTAACAACAAACTCTAAATATTGATTACAAATTTTTCAAAACTTCCATCTTTTATTTGCAATGCTTTCATCGCTCATGACGTTTTTAACAATATCATTGGATAGTTTTTTTAAAGTAAAATGTTTTTTTGTATATTTTTTATTATGTTAACTTTAAATAATGATGACTATGCGGTATTTAATTTCAAATTATGTTACTACTCGGTGTAGTTAAGGGATCGTCGATGAATTACGCAACCCTAAATATATTTAATAATTAGGAGAGTGCAAATTTAGCACTTTTGTGGAGCAATTTTCATTTAACTTGATGTGAGCTTTTTAAGTTTCTATTTTTAGTTTCATTTTACTGATTTCTAGTGGGTTTTTTCATTTAATTAGGCAGTTTTTTGCATTCAACCCTACGGCTTTTTGCATTCAATCTGGCGGTTTTAAAATTTTTATCAATTTTATAATGCATGTTATGAATTGCTGATCTGATATGAAAATGATTAGTATTAAAAAATATTCTACATATTCCAGTTAAAAATAATTAAAAAAAACGTACAAGTTCGAAAAAAACAAATTTTTAAAAATTACGACTTTATTCTCTATTAATGTCATCTCCATTAACACATTGCGTAATAAAAGATTCTCAGTGTCTCACGAATGTTACGGCAAGTTTTAAAAATTTCTATCGTTTTAATTTTTTTGTCTTGTCATGGATCATTTAATGGGTATATGGGTATGGGTTAGCAAAATATCACGCAGAAATATCATACAGACTGCAATATTTTAAAATCGCCATAACTACACCGAGTACCGACACTGTTCCTTGAAAAATGACATATTTTTACTTCGTTCTCACTACATCTATAGCGAATCTTAGCGATTGCCGATAAATTTCGCAACGATAAATTTATTTAAAACAAACAAAGTAGAAGATCTAAAGCACTTTTACGCGGAGATTTTCTTTAAACTTAATGCTCTATTTTGATTTTTTATATAAGTTTAGACTCTGCGAGGGAAAGTTTTTAATTTTTTTTGTTTTGTTTATCTGTAAAAGTTAGCTTTAAGTAAGTTATAAAAAAATGACTTTAAATTAGAGGAGGTCGGGGGATTGATGTCCTCTAGGGTAATTATGGACATATGATATTTCTATATTTGTGTAATTTAAGTGAGATTTTTTATCTGTACTGGTACTTATGTTCTTCTAGAAGAACTAATAATTGGTCCAAGTTCTTGGTTCTTCCTACATAAGTGACGCTAGTTGTCTGATGTTGTTAACTGTCATTTACGTATTAGAAAGAAAAATTATTGTGCTATTAAGTAATGTTAAAGATGTTGACTAAATAACACCAATAATAAGAAATATAATTATTTTAGTTTTTAAATATATATAATGTAAGTATCTTCTTATTTGCAAATATGTTTTTATTTTTGTTAATAAAAATTGATTCATTTTAAGGTTATGATTATACGGGCCATTTTATACGGGCAATCTTGGCCGTATAAAATGGCTTAAAAATAGAAAAGTCTTCAGATATTTGTTTGGTTTGTGGGGAATTTGGTAAAAACCGAGAATGGTGGGTAACTTGTGCTGCATGTGGTGACTGGTCCCACAAAGACTGTACGGATCTCCTCTATAAAAATAATATTTATATTTGTGACTATTGTATTTAATAGTAATATTGTACTACTTATTTTTATTAATTCTTAAACTCATAAACTTATTCTCTTAAACTCTTATAAAACTAATTTTTAATAATTATTATTCTTGTTTTCATTATTCGTATTCGACAAAAGAATTGGGGTAATGCTGACCCCAAGTTATGGAGTAATACTGGCCATTTTGTTTAATTCTTTTCTTGTAATAACGCGTTAATTATTTTTTGTACGTATTTGCCAATAAAGTACTTTATTATATACATTGTAGTAATTCTTCTACCATAGTTACAGCTCGGACCATTATAATACAACCCTAAAAATGGCGAAAAACCTTAAGGGGACACCATTCCCCCGACTTCCCCAACTGCTTGATGTTGAAGTACTAACCTTGTGAATTTTTGATAAATGTACTACGAGTGGGATTTTTCTTCACAGAACTGTCTGGATAATAGGATAACTCAAGCTTCAAATAAATATTGGAACCGCTCCTAAATTGAATTTTTACGGATTTATTATATTTATTAATGGTAATAAGTTTTATACCACCACAACTTTGTCGTTTTTGGTGCTACAAATAGCATAAAATACCCAATAGAAGCGAATTAATAGTTTAAAATTTTAAAATATTTCATATATATATATATATATATACATATATATATATATATATATATATATATATATATATATATATATATATATATATATATATATATATATATATATATATATATATATATATATATATATATATATATATATATATATATATATATATATATAATTTAAAATATGTATTTCAAGTATAGTAATGTATTTAATTGAGTAAAAAATAAAATTTTTATAAAAATGTTACCCATTTGAATCGGAAAAGAAATTACCTGGAGAAAAGAAGTATTATTTGCTTTGGATGTTGGAATAAGAACAAGCAATGTATCAACCTACAAAATCCAGCGCAGATTACTTTAAGAAATCTATTTAGAAAGCATAAAGACGGAAACTTTGATGTTTTAGTGAACTCCATTCCCACTGAACTACGTCCAAAATGCAAGATTGCAATTTACAAGAAAGAGTTATTCATCCTCAATTTATTTTGAATAACTAAAATAGATTTTTTAAATGCAAGGTATAAATGAATTTTTTTTGCAAAAAGAAAACTGTCAACAGTGCAGAAACTTGAAAATGGAAATGGAAAAAGTTACTACTTTAATGCTTTTTTTTTTTTTTTTTTTTTTTTTCCAATTTTTGTCAAGCAACCATTTACAACCCTTACAAAAAAACCCAGCGAACTTCCAGCGAAAGTTCGCTGGAAATTAAAAGATCACTGGAAATTTACTAAGATCACTGCCCAGTAAACTTGCCATGCATGGTCCATGCATGGGATTCATCGGTTGATGACCGGCACCACCGCGCCAGTGATGCCGGTCATCAACCAATGGTTGGCCATGCTTGTTTTACGATCGGCCAACTTTGCCGATCTTGCCGATCTTGTGCCAGGCTTAAACAATGTTTGTGATAAAATAAAGGTTTTGCGTTTGCGCATGTGCTATTTTATAAAGTTTGCCATCTTAGTTTTTACCTTACGTCAGTTTCCTTATTACTTTTTAAGTATTGATCAGTGTTGCCAACTGGCATTTTTTAATGCCAAATTTAGTAAAATTGGCATTATTTTAACATGTTTGCATTTTTTGGCATTTTGGCATTATTTTGGCATTTTGGCATTTTTTTTGGCATTTTTAAAGAAACTGTTGAATTGATTTTTTTTTCAGTTGGTTTGTATTTAATTTGTATTAGAACATTAAGCACAATGTCGAGGGTAAATTCAAGAAAGTACCTTGAAAAATGGGAAGCGGATTATCCTTGGCTTAAAAAAAGCTCTGATGGTACTGAATCAGCATTCTGTACCCTTTGTCGTGTAACTATACAACCACGGAAATCGTCTGTAGAACAGCACAGTGGTACTTTTAGACATGCTTCAAGAGAAAAGTATCTTAACACAAAAAGCCAGATTACGTTTCCTTTAGTATCAAAGAAAGCAGACTGTGAAGCAGATATTCATCTTGCTCTTTGCGTGTGTTGTCATGCACCCATTTCAACGATAAATCACCTTGGAGAAATCATTTCTCTTTATGGAAAAAATAGTCCCCTTGAAAACCTTCGTCTGCATCGAACCAAATGTACCCAAATTATTAAAAATGTAATTTCTTCATCAATCGAATCAGAAATTTCTGAATCAATGGCAGATAAACCTTTTCCCATCCTGATTGATGAATCGACTGATGTTTCTTTGACAAAACATCTTTGCATTTGTGCTCGATACTATTCAGATGAACAGAAATCAGTTATCGATGACTTTCTTGGTTTAGCTGCTGTGATATCAACCACTGGTGCAGATCTTTTTGCTGTTTTGGAAACAAAGTTGACGTCTGTTGGATTGTCTTTAAAAAACTGCATTGGGTATAGCTCAGACGGAGCTTCAAATGTCATTGGATTTCACAATTCGGTTTGGTCTCGTGTTCGGGCAGTCTCTCCTAATTGTCTCTCTAATAATAATACCTAATATTATATATATATATATATATATTATATATATATATATATATATATTTATATATATATATATATATATATTTATATATATATATATATATATATATATATATATATATATTATATATATATATATATAATATTTAAATATATATATATATATATATATATATAATATATATATTTATATATATAATATATATATATATATATATATATATATATATATATATATATATATATATATATATATATATATATATATATGTATGTATATGTATGTATGTATGTATATACTAGGATGTTAGCCAGCCCAATGGCACTGCTCATACAACAGATTTCCCAATCCAATTAAAAATCAATGAACCGTTATTTTTTAAATAAAAATAAATACTCCCAAAATTGAAAAAACGTGGAATAAATTATATTACAGGTTAACACCCTGTATACATACAGGGCTATTTTGTTTTAATGAATGTTTTATTGTTTGTAGTTTTATAAGTTTTAATGTAACACATATGTAATCAAATGTACGCCAAAGCAGTGTACATATTTTGACTGATTTAGGGAGGACACACATTGTCTGAGGGTTGTGGCAGGGGCCTAGGGTAGTTATACCCTAACTAAACCTACGGGGAGGTTATAAATGTCCCCTTAGAGTAAGGCTTCCATCAACATAAGGCTTATTTTTAGCCTGAGTGTATATATTTTATTTATTTTAAAAGACCATGACACATTACTTAGTTGTAAAATTTCCAGAGGAGGATTCAGTGGAGGTAGTTCCGGAAACATGGTTTTCTCATGAGACTGGGAAGTGTTTTTTTCCATCAAAAATGGACTTAAAAACATTTAACAATTATGTTTTAAAAATGTTCCCCCCAGAAGACAGTTGGAAAAAATTTACAGGCATTGCTTTGTGGAAAACAAGTAATTTTTACAATAAATTTGTTTTTAATTAATTTTTAAAGTATTCCAATAGAGGTTACAAATTCTGAAGATAAGTTTTATAAATGTTTTTCTTTTAACCGTATGTGACTACTATCAATATAATTTAATATTAATTTTAAATTTATTTTTACGAATAACAAATATTTTTTGTACATACATTTATTTTCATTTATTGTTTTTTTTAGCTGATTACAAAATAGCGCACGATAAAGCCACTCTAGCATTAGATACTTCAGATCTTAATACTGATACAGAAACAACAGGAAAAAAGAGAAAGAGAAAGTAGTTATTTTTCAAAATTTAACAAAATTTTTAAGTCTTTAAAATTTTGTTGTCCTTATTTATATTTCTAAGTAATTTTTTGCTATCTTGTAGGGAAGTTCAAAGATTTGAAATTCTCAATGAAAATGATGAGCCTAATGTTGATTTTTGTCCTAATAAGTATGATCGTTGGGTTTAAATAGATGATTAAACATAGCCACTCTAAGTGTTAATGTTGTCAGTGTTAATGTTGTCAATAATTTTTTAATTAATTAATTTTATTGGCTAGGTTGTCACTTCATGGAACATCAAGTAGCACCAGAAACACGTGTGCCCCAAATGTAGAGTGTAAAATTTTTCCTCCTAGTAATGAGAAGTCGATTCCTTTTTCAATATTTAACAAAAGTTCTGTTTCATTAAATAGTTCTTTAGGTGAGTTATTATACTTAATCAAATCAATTAATAAGTTCAGTTTATTAAAGATGATCTTACAAATTGGTTAAATAGTCAGATTTTTTTTCTCTCTTTATTGTTCCCAAAGTCTGAGAGGGCCACTTCAGTCAAGGAGGGTACTCTTTTATTTTTTTGTAAATTTAATATGGTTATAGCCCTCTCTTAAAAAATATTATAAAAATAAAATCTCTCTCTCTCTCTCTATATATATATATATATATATATATATATATATATATATATATATATATATATATATATATATATATATATATATATATATATATTTATATATATATATATATATATATATATATATATATATATATATATATATATATATATATATATATATATTATATATATATATATATATATATATATATATCTTATAAAAATAAAATCTCTTTTAATTTAGATAATGACACTAGTTCATATTTTCAAAATGGTTAAATTTTGTCACCAAATAATAGGACAGGTTAGATTTTTGATCATGGTAATTATGATGATGATGATCATGATAATGATGGTGATAATTGTTTTCAGATTTAATGATGGATAAGATTTTAGAAAAGCTCGTTGTGATGGAAAACAGGCAGAAATCCAATGAAAAGATATTAAAAACTATTCTTATGAGGTTAGAAAGCTGTACAAATGAGTCTTCAATTGAAGATTTACCTGTCACATTGCCTGTTCAAAATTGGCAGGATTTGATAATATTAGATGAAATGAGTTCTTCTGTTGGTTTGGTAAGCTTCAAAAGTTTATTTTTAATAATCTATTTCCAAATATATATATATATATATATATATATATATATATATATATATATATATATATATATATATATATATATATATATATCTGTAGTTATATAAATATTATATTAGTCAAGGTTGCTTGGTGTAATTGGTGGGAGCAATTTGAAATCAATTACATATAACATAATGAATCAGCTAGTATGTCATGAACTAGCACTAAAAATGAATTGGAGTGATGAATACAAAAATAAACACGCCTTTGGAAAGTTAAAAAAAATTCCTGGCATAGTATATAGTAAGTACAATAATGTTCATTTATTTTGTGGTAATTAAGTTGATCCCATATATCTTGTTAAAAATTTAACAGTTGCAGTTCAAAAGCATGAAAAAGGAGGAAGTAATGCAGATGTTGAGAAGTGCATAAAAAGGTGGCTAATGCAAGCTCCGGACAGAAATGGTGGCCGCGCACAACGTGCTTTAAAAACTTTAACTCAAAACTCTTGAATTTTCTTTGATATATTATATTTTACTTTCATTACTTAAGTATAACATTTTTTTTATAGTATCATACTTTTATATTTTACTACACATACATACATACATACAATATAACAGAAAATTTTTCAGTGCAGGATTAAGGCGTGGACTTTATTTGTTTTGAAATTTTGAGTTTTGAAATTTATTTTTTTGGTTAATACCTTAAATTTTGCATGGATTTTAATGAAAGGTTTTCTTCATTTTAACATATTTCTTTTTAAAATCATCGGTTTAAGTTTTTGACCAGTGCACTGATTAAAAACTTACATACATTTATTAACAAATACATACATGTATGTATTTATATTTTAAAGCTATATTTGAAATATATATTTATTGTAACTAACCTATTTTAATGCTTTTTGTTTAATATTTTTTTGTGTTGCTATTTATAGATTATTATAGATGATTATAGATGTTATAGATTATAGATGACTAAAAAGTGCTACATGCTAAAGCTACGTAATCATTAGATACTTTAGAAAAGAAGCCATAAAAGATATATCCTAGTTATAAAAGTTTAGTAAATTTTTTCTGATTCTTGTTAGTTTATAGTTAATGCTTATTTATTGTGCTAAATAGTTTATATGTATCTTCAAGTATATAGACTTAATACGCATCGACATCTGGTACCAGTGGTAATGTCACAAGCATCTTTTAACTACAAGTATATTTTCCATATATTTTGAAGGAGTTGTCTGCTTGTTTTCTTTTTGTTTTTGTATTTGTTAGTGACATCAACATCTGGTAGCAATGGTAACGTTCTAAAGTATCTTTTCGAAATAGCTGTATATAACCAATCAAATTATTTTATGTACTTTGTTTTTCCTATGATAATCTTACAGATTATATCTTTTTTAATTCATTATAAATGACGTTCTAAAGATGTTTTTTTCTTTTTATCTATTGCATTTTCTAGTCTTTAATGGCATCTGGTAGCAATGGTAAGTTTGTATCTTTTCAAAATAGTTAATAATGACTTAGTAAAAGAAGATGTTTTTTTAAGTTATTGTTTATTTTGTAGTATTTAGGGGCAACAGCATTTAGTATTTTTTCGTTTTGTAGTCTTTAATGATATTGACATCTGGTAACCTTGGTAAGGTTGTATTTTTTCAAAATGATTATATTAATTGTTAAAGAGGTTATATGTTTATTATTATTTTTATTTCGTATTCCTAAGGTACATCCAAACTTAAAAGCAATGGTAAAGTTATATCTTTTCAAAATGATTGTAAAATACCTTTTCATAAGGCTATTATATATTTTAATTTTTAAGATGTCGTTTGATAACTATGTTTTATATTTTGCATTTTTTAGCGGCATCACCATCTATTAGCAATGGTAATGGTATATCTTTTCAAAATGACTGTAAATGATCAATATCATATAAACATAATTATTATTTCCAAACATTGTAATTTTTTTTCAATATTATGTTTATTAATGTTGGATTAGTAAAATAAATATAACAGCAATTATAACGCTTCAACCGTTAGTTTATTTTTTCTCAATATAACGCCAATATAACGGCACTTCGAAGTGCCGTTATATTGGCGTTATAATATAACGGCAGATCGGCCTTTATATTTAGTGTTATATTTGCTCAACTCGAGTTGATGTTAACGCTAGATCTGGCGTTATATACTTTTTGTTATTTTGGCGTTAGTTTTTTTACAATGTGTCTTTCATTACGATCGGCCTAATTATTTTATTTTAGATCTATCAGGAGCAGTTTAAAATGCGAGAAAAATTGCGTAAAAATGTGAAGTAGAAGATTATTGATAGTTAGCACCATAATGACGAATAAATGACGGTTGAAGAAATGATGGACAAGCTTTTACTCATCTTAAACCTTTATATGAATATGAATTGTATTTTAGTTAACTTTTATTGAAATGTAAAAAATTTATCAATATATAATGTATTGCAAAAACGGTGGACATAATTTTCTAGATTCCATTTTACAATATTTTGAAATATCTCATTAATTATATGTTTTCGCGTATACCTTTTTTGAGTTAGGTAAACATTAACTTATTTTTCGACAATTTATTACGTCTTTGAGCAAAGGAAGAACGAGGAATTCCTCTTAATTTAAACTCTCTTATGTGCTAAGTATTAGTTATAAATAAAATAAACAAATAATAATAATAAAGCAAAATTAACATAGATATGAGCAATAGCTATGCAACTGATAAACGCCGGTTAAAAGTTAAAAATAAATAAAACAAATAAAAAATGAACCAAAACTAACATAAAAATGAGCACTGGCAAAGCAACGGCTTAACGCTGGTCGAAAAACGGCTGCCATGCATGGACCATGCATTAAACGGTGAGCAACACTTGGCTTGGGCCATGCTTGTCGGCCGATGGTGGGCCAGTCATGGCACCGATGGTGGGCCATGCATGGAGCAAGCATGGCGAGTTTGCTGGGTGGGTTTTCGGTAAAGTTCGCTGGATTTCCATGGAAACAAAAGACTTCGCTGGAAGTTCGCTGGAAATCCAACGAAAAACTTCCAGTGGTCTTGAAGTTTACTGGGTTTCTTGCGAATTATTTCGCCGTTTTTCCAGCGATTTAAAAAGCGTTGCTGTTACAACTTCTGGAAGCAGTTAAAACTTGGAAATATTATTTAAAAATAATATTTCAAATTTTTGTATAAACGTAATCCTTTCTATTTTATTTTTTGCATCTAATAGATGAACTATAGTGCGAGTTTTAATTATTATTAGTTCTACTCAAGTTACAAAACAAAATCATCTGGTATGTTGCTCAAAATGTTATTTTCTCTTAAGTATTGTTTATTATGCATTTTATTTATCAAATTCAACTTTATTATTTTATAAAAATAATTTTTATAAATGTCTTTATGATTAAGTATTTTATATTAAAAAGAATAAATAATAAACTGTTTCTCTCTCTCTCTCTGAGAAAGAGGGATATATAATATATATCCCTCTCTCTCAGTATATATATATATATATATATATATATATATATATATATATATATATATATATATATATATATAATTTAGATAAGTGTTTTTACTAATTTATTATTGCTTCTGTTCTTTAAGAACGTTGAGCACTCTATTTGTAGAATAAACTAACATACTTTATATATATATATATATATATATATATATATATATATATATATATATATATATATATATATATATATATATATATATATATATATATATATATATATATATATATATATATATATATATATATATATATGTATATATATGTATATATATGTATATATATATATATATATATATATATATATATATATATATATATATATATATATATATATATATATATATATATATACATACATAGGGGAGAGCAGGTAGGATTCGTACACCAGGAGCATTCGTACAGTGGTCATATCTACCAAATTATAGGTGTTGACAAGTTTGTATTATTGTGTGCGTAAGGACCGCTTATGTTTAATTAAAAAAAAACTATACGCCGTAGCAGTGCATCAGAAACCTTCATCGGGGCAAGTCAATAAGCGTTTTCACACAACAAAAGTAATTTTACTTACTATCTTTGAAAACATATATTTGTAATAAGTATTGCTAAAGTTGTCAATATGATTTACTATGCTGTTAAATAAATGCCTAAAATTGATATGTAAACATCAACTTTTGTGCTAACCTTAACCATTATTTTTATTTTGAGTTTATAAGTTGATTTTTTTGTTTGGGGTACATTCGTACAGTTATTCGTGGGGAGGATTCGTACTGTACGAGTCCTCCCCAAGTGAATTTGGAAAATTTGTTTCATAAAATTATTATTATTTTAGGATAATGCCGCGAATATACATAAAAAAAGAGACTAGAACGAAAGAGGTAGACGAAGAAGCAATGAAGTCTGCGATGAACGATGTTTTACATAAGACTTTATCTATTAGGATGTCCGCACAAAAATATGGGATCAAACCAACAACACTTCAAAGTCGCCTAATTAACTCCCATAAAAAAGCTGCTAACAACACTCTGTCGCGTGTGTTTAGTTCCAAGTTTACATCGAACCAAGTGTTTACTGCCGAAGAAGAGACTCTATTGAACAAATACATAGTGAAATGTTCTAAAATGCATTATGGGTTGACAATGGTACAAGTTCGAAGACTGGCATACGAATATGCTAATGTAAATCAACTAAAATATCCACCTAGCTGGAATCATAACAAAATGGCTGGAAAAGAATGGCTTGACAGTTACCGTAGACGTCATACAAATTTAAGTCTAAGGAAGCCTGAAAGCACCAGCGCAGCACGTTCTTTTGGAATCAACAAGACAGCCGTTACTGATTTCTATGCAAACCTAGAAAAGATTTTGAGAAAATATACATTGCTTGCAGATAGAATTTATAATTTTGATGAGTCAGGGGTGTCTACAGTAATGACTGATGTTGACACAAAAAAACCTAAAACAAATTGGTCAGCTTGTTTCGGCTGAAAGGGGAGAACTAGTAACATTTGGGGGAATTATATCAGCAAGTGGTAACGCAATACCACCGTTATTTATCTTTCCCAGAGTGCATTTTAAGGATCACTTTATGGAGGGTGGTCCAGAAGGCAGCCTAGGAATGGCTACTAAGAGTGGATGGATTAATTCTAGTATATTTTTAGAAGTCTTAAAACACATTAAATTAAAAACATGTTGCTCTAAAGAGAACCCTATTCTGCTCCTCGTCGACAATCATGAAAGCCATGTGACAATAGAAGCAGTGGACTATGCTCGTGGTAATGGCATTATTTATTTGTCTTTTCCTCCTCACACAACTCACCGTCTCCAGCCTTTAGATGTGGGAGTATTTGGGCCTTTTAAGGCCAAGCTTAAGGTAGCATTTAATGATTGGGATGTGAATAATCCAGGAAAAACCCTTAATATATACAATATTCCGAAACTGGTCAAAATTGCCTATTTTGAATCATTTAATAGCAAAAATATTTCAAATGCTTTTGAAAAGACTGGAATATGGCCATTTAATAAATTAAATTTCAGTGACGAAGAATTTGCTGCTGTGCAAGTATACCATTCCGATTCTTCAGCAGTCACAGTCACACAACAAATCGCACCTGAAGAAATAATTCTTACTCAACAAAATTTGATAAGTGCGCTTCCTGTATTGCCATCTACATCTCTTGTGGGATTAGTAACTCCAGAAATAGTAGAAAACATAACATTACCATCTACATTATCTGTGGGATTAATAACTCCAGAAATTATTCGACCGTACCCTAAAGCCAACAGGAACGGACCTAAAAAAAAGAAGAAAGGAAAACTACTAGGAAAATCAAGGATATATACAGATACTCCCGAAAAAAACAGACTGCTAGAATTAGAAATTACAAAAGAGACGAAGAAACAAGAGCAAGAGAGAAAAAAAAAGATAAGGAATTGAAACGTGTATTAAATTTGCCAATAGACACAAATATAAAAACCAAACCAAAGAAACAAAAAAAAAAAAACAATAGAGACTGATAGCGAAGATGAAACTGATATAAGTTTAAGTGAAAGTTCTTATTCACCCTTTAAAGAGATGACAAGTTCTTCATCTGATATTGAAAACGAATTTCCGGTTAAGCAGGAAGATATTAAAGAAAAAACATTTGTGTTAGTGAAATTTGATCAGAAAAAGACCGTTGTACATTATATTGGGCAGGTTGTAACCAGGTACAACCCCATGGAATACAAAGTTTCATTTCTGAGAAAGAAGCCGGGTACTTGGAAATTTGTTTTTCCTAATAACAAAGACGAAGGGACGGTTTACTTATCAGACGTGGTATGTGTATTGCCGCCAACCAAATGTGCTTCTACAGCAAGAACAGCCAATATATTCATATTTAAAAAAAATTTTACAATGCTAAATGCCAATACCGACCTAAAAAATTATTGAAGCCAGATATCTAGATAATTCACCAGCATTGAAAGTTTTTTAAAATCGCTATTGGTTTTGCTTTAAAATGACTTAGAGTAAAAAGTGTACGAATCCTATCTGCTCTCCCCTCTATATATATATATATATATATATATATATATATATATATATATATATATATATATATATATATATATATATATATATATATATATATATATATATATATATATATATATATATATATATATATATATATATATAAAGTATGTTAGTGTATTCTAAAAATAGAGTGCTCAACGTTCTTAAAGAACAGAGCAATAATAAATTAGTAAAAACACTTATCTAATTTTTATTTTCTTCTACAGCTTGTTTCTCCATCAGTAGGATCATCAGGAAGGAATCTTCCTGATGATCCAACTGATGGAGAAACAAGCTGTAGAAAAAAAAAAAAAATTAGATAAGTGTTTTTACTAATTTATATATATATATATATATATATATATATATATATATATATATATATATATATATATATATATATATATATATATATATATATATATATATATATATATATATATATATATATATATATATATATTTATATATATATATATTTGTGAAGTTGCTTTAAGTACTAATAAGCAATGTACAAAATGTTTGAAATATTTTACATTATCCTATCTTTATTAGAAATGCAATTATTTTCATATTTTAAACATAAGCAAACAGCATAAAAACATGTGTGATAACAATTGGATACATTTAGCAAGTCTTAAAGAAAATGGGCAAGCAACAATTAGACTTGTTGTTAATACTGATGGAATTCCTGTTTTTAAATTATCAAAATGGACCTTGTGGCCTTTGCTAGCATCCATTCATAATTTTCCATATTCGTTGCAAATTACTAATATTTTGTTTTTTGGTTTCTGGTCCAGTTTTAAAAAACCAAACGTGCAATTATTTTTATCTTGCTTTGTTGATTTTTTTACTAAACTATCCACTACTGGTATACTCTTATCTAAT